TGGAACAAATAATCCTAAAATTTGTATGGAACCACAAAAAACTCTGAAGAGCCAAAGCAACCTTGAGAAAGAGGAACAAAGCTGGGGGTATCATGCTCCCAGATTTCAAACTATACTACAAATTATAGTAATCAAAACAGTATGGTACTGGCACAAAACCAAACACATAGATGAATAGATCAGAATAGAGAGCACAGAAACAAAATCACACTTATATGGCCAATTAATCTACAACAAAGGAGGCAAGAATATACAATGGGGAAAAGACAATCTCTTCAATTAACAGTGTTAGAAAAACTGGACCACTTTCTTACATCATATATAAAACTAAGCTCAAAATGGATTAAAGATTTAAATATAAGATGTAAAACTATAAAACTCCTAGAAGAAAATAGGCAGTAGACTCTTGGACATTTGTTTAAGCAATACCTTTTTGGATCTAGAGGACAACAAAAGCAAAAATAAACAATTGGGACTACATCAAATTGAAAACTTTTGCACAGTGAAGGAAATCATCAATAAAACCTACCAAATGGGGCGCCTGGGTGGCTCAGTTGGTTAAGTGACTGCCTTCGGCTCAGGTCATGATCCTGGAGTCCTGGGATCGAGTCCCGTATCGGGCTCCCTGCTCGGCGGGGAGTTTGCTTCTCCCTCTGACCCTCCCCCCTCTCATGCTCTCATTCTCTCTCTCTCAAATAAATAAATAAAATCTTAAAAAAAAAAAAAACCTACCAAATGGCAGAAGATATGCAAATAACATCTCATAAGGAGTTAATATCCAAAATATATAAAAACTCAGAAAACTCAGAATCAATTGTTTTTTAGATTCCATATAAAAGTGAAATCATATGGTATTTGTCTTTCTCTGACTGGCTTATTTCATTAGCATTATGCCCTCCATCTCCATCTGTGTTGTTTCAGATGGCAAGATTTCATTCCTTTTTTATGGCTGAATAAAATTCCATTGTGTGTGTATGTGTGTGTGTGTGTGTGTGTAAGATAAGTTACAACTGACTGAACTACCCAGGCATGCGCGCACATACACACACACTACATCTTTTTTTTTTTTTTTTTAAGATTTTATTTATTTGACAGGGAGAGACACAGCGAGAGAGAGAACACAAGCAGGGGGAGTGGGAGAGGGAGAAGCAGGCTTCCCACGGAGCAGGGAGCCTGATGCGGGACTCGATCCCAGGACCCTGGGATCATGACCTGAGCCGAAGGCAGACGCTTAACGACTGAGCCACCCAGGCGCCCCTCACACTACATCTTCTTTATCCATTCATCAACTGATGGGCTGCTTCCCTATCGTAGCTCTTATAAATAATGTTGCAATGATCACAGCAGTACATAGGTCTTTTTGGATTGGTTTTAATTTTCTTCAGATAAATTGCTAGAAGTGGAATTGCTGGGTCATACGGTAGTTCTATTTTAACTTTTTCCAGGACCCTCTGCACTGTTTTCCATAGTGGCTGCACCAATGTACATTCCCACCAACAGTGAGTGCACAAGTGTTCCCTTTTCTCCATATCCTCGCCAACACCTGTTATTTTTTTGTCTTTCTGATAACAGCCATGCTGACAGGCGTGAGGAGATATCTCATTGTGGTTTTGATCTGCATTTCCCTAATGATGAGTGATGTTCAGTATCTTTTAATGTGTTTGTTGACCATCTGTATGTCTTCTTTGGAAAAATGTCTATTCAGGTCTTCTGTCCATTTTTCTTTTTTTTTTTTTTTTTTAAAGATTTTATTTATTTATTTGACAGAGAAAGAGAGCAACAGCAGGGAACACAAGCAGGGGGAGTGGGAGAGGGAGAAGCAGGCCTCCCGCCAAGCAGGGAGCCCGATGCGGGGCTCGATCCCAGGACCCTGGGATCATGACCCGAGCCGAAGGCAGACGCTTAACGACTGAGCCACCCAGGCGCCCCTTCTGTCCATTTTTCAACTGTGTTTTTTTGTTTTTATGTTGTGTAAATTCTTTACATATTTTGGATATTAACCCCTTACTAGATGTCTGATTTGCAAATATCGTCTCCCAATCAGTATGCTGCCTTTTTGTTTTTTTGATAGTTTTCTTCTCTGTACAAAAGCTTTTTAATTTGATGTAATCCTATTTGCTTATTTTAGCTTTTGATGCTGGGTACCACGCATCTTTGACCAGGGTACCAAGACCATTCAATGAGATAAAAATAGTCTTTTCAGCAAATGGTGTTGGGACAACTGGTATCCACATGCAAGTGAGTCAAGTTACCCCACCTCATCCCATATGCAAAATATTAGGTTGAAATAAACCAAAGACCTAAGTTTAAAAGCTAAAATTATAAAATCCTTAGAAGAAAGTAAAAGTGTAAATCTTCATGACCTTGGATTAGGCAGTGGTTAGATAGGACTCCACAGCACTAGCAAGCAAAGAAAAAATAAATTGGACTCCAACAAAATTAAAAACCTTGTGCTTCAGAGGAGACTACGAAGAAAGTGAAAAGACAACTCAGAAATGGGAGAAAATATTTCCAAATTATCTGATAAGGATTAGTACCTGATAAAGAATTCTTACAATTCAGCAAAAAGAAACAAGTAACCCAATTTAAAAATGGGCAAAGGACATGAGTAGACATTTTCCAAAGGATATATACGAATGGTCAATAACCACATAAAAAGATGCTCAACATCATTAGCCACGAGGGAAATGCAAATCACAATGAAATACTATTTTGCACTCACTGGGATGGCTATAATAAAAGATGGAAAATTACAAATGCTGGAGAGGATACAGAGGAACTGGAACCCTCATAACATTGTTGGTGGGCGTGTAAAGTGGTATAGCTACTTGAAAAAAGTCTGTCAATCCTCAAAAAGTTAAACCTAGGGTTGCCATATGATCTAGCAATTCCACTCATAGGGACATACTCAGTAGAACAGAAAATATATGTCCAAACAAACACATGGACGCAAATGTTCACTGCAGCATTATTCATAATAGCCAAGAAGGGGAAACGACCCAAATGTTCATTAAGCGAAGAAGGGATAAGTGAAATGTGGCATATTCATACAATGGGATTATTCATCATCCCTAAAAAAGAATGAACTACTGATTCATGCTAGAACATGGATGAACCTTGAAAGTATTAGGCTACATGCAGAAGTCAGACACAAAAGATCATGTTTTTGTGATTCCATTTATATGAAATGTCAAGAATAGGTAAATCTGTCAAGACAGAAAGAAGGTTAGTGACTGCCAGGACTTAGAGAGAGAAGGCGATGGGGGAGTGACTGCTAATGGGGCTGCATTTTGGGTGATGAAAATGTTCCAGAATTAAGACAGTAATGGTGGTTGCACAACTTAATGAGTACACTAAACACCACTGATTTGTATGTGAATTTGAACCCAATGAATTTGTATTTAAAGTTTATTTATGTGTTGAAGTAATCCCTACACACAACATGAGGCTTGAACTCACGACCCCGAGATCAAGAGTTGCACGCTCTTCTGACTGAGCCAGCCAGGTGTCCCTGAATTTGTATTTATTTATTAGATATTTATTTGTTTATAAGAGAGAGTGTGTACGTCCACGAGTGGGGGGAGGGGCAGAGGGCGAAGCAGGCTCCCTGATGAGGAGGGAGCCTGATGCGGAACTCAAGATCAGGACCCTGAGGTCATGACCTGAGCTGAAGGCAGCCGCTTAACCGACTGGGCCACCCAGGTGCCCCAATTGTATTTAAAAGAGTGAATTTTATGAGTATGTAAATTATATTTCAACTGAAAAAGAATGGATGATTTCAGCTTTATCTATATCAATACTACATGCAGGGTTACAATGCAATATACTTTTAACATGTTGGAGGAAAATAGGACCTAGATTTTATATTTAGTTAAAATATATAAATATGGGGGTGCCTTGGTGGCTCAGTCAGTTAAGTGTCTGCCTTCAGATCGGGTCATGATCTCAGGGTCCTGGGATCGAGCCCCACATCGGGCTCCCTGTTCAGCGGGAGGCCTGCTTCTCCCTCTCTCTGCCGCTCCCCATCTGTGCTCTCTCATTTGCGTGTTCTCTCACTAATAAATAAAATCTTTAAAAAAAATAAAATATATAAATATGAGGGCCTGATAAAGATATTCCTAAGCACACAAGATTTCAGAAGGTTTGCAATATAAAGGCTTGCACTGAAAATAATTCGGGATGAAATACATTTTAATTTTTTTTTTGGTAGATTTTATTTATTTATTCATTTGACAGAGAGAGAGGGAACACAAGCAGGGAGAGCAGCAGAGGGTGAGGGAGAGGGAGAAGTAGACTCCACTGAGCAGGGAGCCCGATGTGGGGCTCGATCCCAGAACCCTGGGATCATGACCCAAGCTGAAGGTAGACAACTGACTGAGCCACCGAGGCGCCTGGGATGAAATACTTTTAATACAGATACCAAATAAAATAGGAAGGATTAAAAGAGACAGAAAAATATGATAAACTGAAATTATAAATGAAGGTGTTGGCAAGAGGCCTAAATACATCAATAGTTACATTAAACTTAAATTGTCTAAAGTAATCACTTTAAAGTCAAATATTGACAGATTTGGACAAAAAACCAAATTCTAGATACATGCTTGTTAAAACAAACATACCTAAAGCTAATCGAGAGCTGGAGCAGCTTTACAACATCAGATAAAATACAATTTAAGAGCCAAAGTCATTATTAGGAAAAAATTATTCCTTATGATAGATTCAATTCCTGGAAAACTGGACTACTATTTTACACCATGTATAAAAATTAACTCAAAATGGATTAAAGATTTGAATGTAAGACCTGAAACCATAAAACTCCTGGGAGAAAACATACATGGTAAGTTCCTTGACATCATTCTTGGCAACTTTTTGGATTGAACATCAAAAGCAAAGGCAACAGAAAGCAGAAATAAACAAATGGGACTACATCAAACTAAAAAGCTTCTGCAGAGCAGAGGAAACCACCCACAAAATGAAAAGGCAGTTGACCAAATGGGAGATAATATTTGCAAATCGTTTATTTGATAAGGAGAGAATATCCAAAACATAAAGATTTCATACAAGTCAATAGCCAAAAAAAGAAGAATATGATTAAAATGGGCAGAATATCTGAATAGACATTTTCCTGAAAAGACATACAGATGGCCAATAGGTACACGAAAAGGTGCCCAACATCACTCAGCATCAAAACCACAATGAGATATCGCCTCACAACCTCTGAGAATGGCTATTACCGAAAAGACAAGAAATAGCAAGTGTTGGCGAAGATGTGGAGAAAGGGAATCCTCGTGCACTGGTGGTGGGAATGTAAATTGGGGCAGCCACTCTGGAAAACAGTATGGAGGTTCCTCAAAAAATTAAAAATAGAGCTACCATATGATCCAGAAATTCCACTTCTGGGTATATATCAGAAGGAAACGAAAACGCATTATCTTGAAGAGATATCTGCACTCCTGTATCAATTGCAGCACTATTTTCTTTTTCTTCTCTCTCTTTTTTTTAAGATTTTATTTATTTATTTGACAGAGAGAGATAGCGAGAGCAGGAACACAAGCAGGGGGAGTAGGAGAGGGAGAAGCAGGCTTCCCGCAGAGCAGGGAGCCCGATGTGGGGCTCAATTCCAGGACCCCGGGATCATGACCTGAGCTGAAGGCAGACACCCAACCGACTGAGCCACCCAGGTGCCCCAACAGCACTATTTTCAATAGCCAAGACATAGAAGCAACCTAAGTGTCCACACATGGTTGAATGGATACAGAAAATGCAGTATATATACACAATGGAATATGATCCCACCATAAAAAGGAAGGAAATCTTGCTATTTGTGACAGCATGCCTTGTACCTTGAGGACATTGTTAAGTGAAATCAGTCCGATAGAGAAAGACAAATTCTGCATCTCACTTACTTGTGGAATCAAAACAAAAAGCAAAAAACAGGGGTGCCTGGGTGGCTCAGTTGGTTAAGCGTCTGCCTTTGGCTCAGGTCACGATCTCAGGGTCCTGGGATCGAGCCCCGCATTGGGCTCCCTGCTCAGTGGGGAGTCTGCTTCTCTCTCTGCCTCCACCTGCTGCTCCCCGCCCTGCTCGTGCTCTCTCTCTCAAAGAAATAAAATCTTAAAAAAAAAAAAAAAGGCAAAAAACAAACCCAAAATGGAATGCTTTGATCCAGAGAACATATCGGTAGTTGCCACAGGTGGTGGTGGTGGGGGATGGGTGAAATGAGTGCAGTTCGTCAAAAGGTACAAACTTCCAGTTACAATAAATAAGTTCTGGGGGTAAAATGTGCAGAATGGGGACTATAGGTAATAACACTCTACCATATTTTTGAAAGTTGCTAACAGAGTAGACCTTAGAAGTTCTCACTATAAGAAAAAAAAATCTGTAACTATGTGTGGTGATGGATGTTAACTAGACTTGTTTTGGTGATCATTTTGAGATAAATATCGAATCATTATGTTGTGTACCTGAAACTAATATGTCAGTCATACCTCAAGTTTTAAAAAAGATTCAAGAGGTGCCTGGGTGGCTCAGTCGGTTCAGCATCTGACTTTGGCTCAGGTCATGAGTCCAGGGCCCTGGGATCGAGCCCCGCATTGGGCTCCCTGCTTAGCGGGGAGTCTGCTTCTCCTTCTCCCCCTGCTCATGCTGTCTCTCTCTTTCTCGAATAAATAAATAAAATCTTAAAAAAAAATAAAGATTCAATTCCCAGGGTGCCCGGTTGGCTCAGTAGGTAGAGCATGTGACTTTTTTTTTTTTTTAAGATTTTTTATTTATTTATTTGACAGAGAGAGAGACACAGTAAGAGAAGGAACACAAGCAGGGGGAGTGGGAGAGGGAGAAGCAGGCTTCCCGTGGAGCAGGGAGCCCGATGTGGGACTCGATCCCAGGACCCTGGGATCATGACCTGAGCTGAAGGCAGACACTTAACGACTGAGCCACCCACGCGCCCCTATAGCAGGATTATTTATTTATTTATTTATTTTTAAAGATTTTATTTATTTATTTGGGAGCGAGAGCGAGAGAGAGAGAATGAGAGAGAGAACACGAGAGGGGGTAAGGTCAGAGGGAGAAGCAGACTCCCTGCCAAGCAGGGAGCCCGATGCGGGACTCGATCCCGGGACTCCAGGATCATGACCTGAGCCGAAGGCAGTCGCTCAACCAACTGAGCCACCCAGGCGCCCTAGCAGGATTATTTATAATAGCCAAGATATGAAAGCAGCCCAAGTGTCCACTGACCGATGAATGCATAAAGAAGAAGTGGTATATTTATGCAATGGAATATTATTCATCCATAAAAAAGAACAAAATCTTGCCATTTGCAACAATATGGATGGACCTAGAGAGTATGAGGCTAAACGAAATAAGTCAGAGACAGACAAAATACTATGATTTCAGTCATGTGGAATTTAAGAAACAAAACAGACAAGCAAGGGGAAAAAAGAGAGAGAGAGAGACAAGTCAAGAAACAGACTCTTAACTACAGAGCACAAACTGATGGTTACCAGAGGGGAGGGGGTGGGGGACGGCTGAAGTAGGTGAAGGGGATTGAGCTGTGCACTTATGATGAGCACCAGGTGAGGTATGAAGTGTTGAATCACTACATTGTACATCTGAAACGAATATTACATTGTATGTTAACTGGAATTACATTAAAATAAGAAAAAAAATACATAAAGATGTTTCACATAATTTGAAACCAGGCAATGTCATGTCAAGACCATTACCTGATTTGAGGGGTTACCATTTTACACCCCACTTGCATGATGAGCATTAAAAGGTGTTTGACAGGAAGTAGACCCATAGAATCTCTTATCCACCACTGGTGGTTAACTTGTGAACTACTTTGGAAAACAGATGTCATCATCTCTTAAAAATGGAGAGTGAACACAGACCCCTTGACCCAGCAAGTCCACTTTTAGGTCTATTCCTAAGAAAAACTCCGGCACGTGCGCAATAGAAACTTATAAAAATTGTTTATAGCAGCAAAAACCATGGGAACATCCCCAAAGCACATCACCAGGAATGGACAAATAGATCACGGCACATTCAGACAGTGGCATATTATGAAGCAGTCCAACTTCGGTGACCAGCAATGTGGACCACTCTCAGTAATATCATGTTAGGTGCAAAAAACCAATCTCCCAAGAGAACACACAGCATGATACACTTTTTATAAGGATAAAAAACAACTAGAATGAACAATGAACCCGGAGGTGGTTATCGGGTGGGGGGGTGGGGGGGGCAGCCAGCCATATGGGTAGATGCAGGTTACCATCCAGGGCCTAACTTTTACTTGGAATGATGGCTTCTTGGATGCTTATGACATTAATAAAAGTTATTGTTACTTTAACTGGTTAATGAGGAGAGAACCGTGCAGGGACAGAGGTTTATATAATCTAACTATGTGCACTTCAGGTCAAGACAAAGAAACAAAAAAAAAGCTGCATCGTGCTCCACTGGGTAGTGTGCCCCCAGGGCTAGTCCTCCCACACCTCTCCTCTTCTTGGCAACCCCCGCCCCCCGCATCCCTTGTGCTGTCCCATGCTCTCCGAGCGCTGACGTCACACCCCTTCCATCAAGCCCTTCTCCACGCCTCTGATCAGGTGTCTGTCTGTCTTCCTCAACGGGGAGCTTGTCCAGGGCAGAGGCTCTGTGTGTCCCCTGGGCATTGAGTGACCATTTGCCGAATTGTCAGCCCTCACCCTTCACGACCTTCTCTGCCAACTCTCGACCATCTTGCCCAATCCTGACATGTTTCCGTCTCCAATTCAACCTGGCTCTTTTTTTGGGAAGTCACAGTGAGTTCTTCTTCCCCTCAATGCTTTCCCTTCCTATTTCTTCTCGGTGGCTGGTGCCCAGATTTGGGCCTCCTCCTCTCTTGCCTACATCAGGCTCCCCACCTTTGGTTCTTTCTCCACACTGATCGCCAGAGATCCTTCTAAAATGTATTTCACATCTCCTCTATCCCCAGTGAAAACCCTTCCATAGGTTGTCACTGCCGTCGGGACCAGCCCGGACTCCTCAGCTGTTTCTAAGGAAGCCCCTGGGGACCACCATGCTCCCCTCACCCACTGTGTGTTCTCTCAGCCAGCAAACACGCTGTGGCTTCTCCTGCAACACAAGGACCCACTTCACTTAGGGGAATCTCTCTAGTCTGTACCCCAAGGACTAGGAGCCATGTTCTCCTCGAAGCTCCTACTGGAATATCAACTCTGTCCCCAGACCATTCATCATCCAAACAGATGGAGCTCCTCACACATCTGCATCGGCTCAGGCACAGGGCCTGGCACAGAGCAGGTCGTGCCTGCTGGAAGGGAGGGAGGGAGAGCCCCTTGTATTCTTTCTGTATACTTTACAAGGCACGATCTCTTGTGACAGTCTTTGGATTGATGCTAGTTTTTAAGGTTGTATGTTTTTTTCCTCTGACCTGCGGTAACCCCCAAGGACAGCATCTTAGGAATCTCTATGCTGGGCACAATGCTAGGCCTGAGGCCTTTGCTCATTAAGGACAAGCAGGGTGAGGCCTAACAGATCCCACAGTGCTCCCTTGCCCTGGAGCCTTCACTCACCGTGTTGAAATACTCGACGCCGGTGGCCTCAAAGGCCCTTGCCACAGCTTGGGTTGTGGCCACACAGGCTACTGGGTGGCCATTGCCAATGGACTTGCCCATGGTGACAATGTCGGGGACAAAGTCTTCTCCCTGTAGCTGGAAGGCCCAGAAGTGCTTGCCTACTCGGCCAAAGCCCACTTGAATCTCGTCTGCGATGAAGAGCCCTCCAGCCCTGCGGACGTGCCTATGGCAGAGGACAGACGGCTGACGGGGTCTGCGGTAAGAGTGGATTGGACCAGGAGCTGGGGGGCTCGGACTCTGAACCCTGGCTCTGCCAGCAGTAAGGTGGGGGCATTAGGCAGGTGGCTGGCTTTCTCAGGGCCACCATTTCTTCTCAAAATTCTGGCCAATTCAGGCTGAGGCTGGAATTTGGAACAAAAGGTCGGGAAGCCCCATTACAGCCCTGCCCTCCCTGAGGCACCCTGTCCCAGCTACTCACTCTGCCACTTCGGGGAAGTAGCCAGCCGGGAGAATGATCTGTCCCGCAACACTGGGCAGAGACTCCACAAAGAAGGCTGCGATCTGTGGAGGAGAGAGAACGCTGGGGACACCACCGGGGAGGCACTGGGTGGTAGGCTAGGCGCATCCTGCCAATGCTGGCTCAGTGCTGGCTCTTGGCGGGACAAGTCAGCAGCGTCGCTGTGTGGCCCCTTTGGGCTCCAGATCACATCTGGTCTGGGACTGGGTTTTCTTTCGGGCTGCAAACCAACTCTTACCACGGGGAATTCTCCAGACTCCTTGTACTTAGCATGTCCCGGATGAAAGGCACTGATTTCTCCCTCCTTGGCCTGTTCCCTCCCTGCCCTGGTCAGTGACTCCCATCACCCCCACCGAGAGAAATGAGGCCCCCACTCCATGATCCATCGGTCAGCATAGCCTCTGCCTCTCCGCCGTCTGTACACCCCACGCGTCCCCTCCACCCCGACACACCTGTCTCGGCCTCCCATGGGTGTCACCTACCAGGATGCCTCCTGCAGTCAGTCCGTCCTCCAGTGGCCACCAGGGCGATCCTCGGCCCAGTCACTGAACTCATCACTGTCCTGCTTAAACCCCTTCAGGGACCCCACTTCTCACAGCTGTGACCTCCAAGCTATGTTGGGTCTCGGAACTGCTTCAGAGACTACCGCCCAGATGGAGGGCCAATGGGGCAAGAACCGGTCGCCCCTGCTGCCCCCAGAGCTGTCGCTTTCCTGGTTTTCTGTAAGCAGAGGCAAAGCGTCTGAAACGCACATGCCAACCTCCCCTGATCTGGTTCTGCCCATCTGTCTGGCTTCACCGCCTGCTTGTCTTGGCCGTCCATCTTGCGTTCAGCTGTCACTGCATCAGCAAGGCCTTCCAGAAAGCCCTCCCGCCAATAGCTGACTCCCTCCCGCTGCTGTCGCCACGGCCACTGCTCCCCTAGAGCACACACACCTCTCCGGTTTGCCCCTGCGCTCCATCTCACTGCAACACCCTGGGTGGGGCCTCCTCACGGCAGCAGGCCGGCCCCACGCACGTGCATCCCCCCGACTCGTCACTCTCCTTCTGAACACCCTTCAGAGCTTCCCAGTGGCCTCCAGCCCCTCAGCACAGCCCTGTGGTCCTGTGGCACAGGGGTCCTGCCTGCCTCTCTCGGCTCGTCTCCTGCCAGCTCAGCCGGGCCCCACACTGGTGAGGTTCCACCTCTGCAGGCCACCCCTCTGCTTAGCATGCCTTTCCTCTCCTCCCCCCAGTCCCCACCATGAGTGCTAACCCCCCTACTCACTGCAATCAGGCAGCACCTCCTCCAAGGACCCTCCATGCCCACACCAGTCCAGCCTGGGCCCCTGCACTCCTGTCACACCCAGGACAAGTCTTCAGCTAAACTCTCTTTTGAGCACCTAACCTCCTCTGAGATTCCTGAAGGGTGGGCCCCGGTTCCGGGGTCTCTCAGGGTGCCTGGTCTCTAGCACTGCACTGACAACAGAGGGAATGACGGTGCTGTTCTGTTCACGGGCCTGTGCAGCTGCAGTTACCTTCCTGCCCTTCTCCTGCACGCTGTTCACCACGCGCTTCACCTCACTGGCGTAGGCCCCAGCTGGATCGGGGTGGTCCTCCCGGTAAAGACCCCGGTAGGTGTCTGGCAAAGGTGCCTGTGGGGAGTGACAGCACCATGTCATCTGGGCTGGGGGGTGGGCACCGACCTGTTGCCCGCTTGGGCAGTGCATACCACATGGACCCACTCCTTCTGGCCATCCAGGTCTCGGAACTTGTAGGGACTGATGTCGATCAGGGAGCTCAGGTGACCGTGGTAAGCACTGAGAGGAGAACGGAGAGGGGCTCAGGCCCAGGTGGCACACACTCCACGGCCCGGCCCCGACAACTGTCTCCCCACCTCAGGAGCTTCAGAGCAGACCAACCTGACACAGCCCCCGAGTCCTAGGGCTGGAAACCAGCACAGGCCTGGGAGCCTGGGAGCAAGACTTCCTGAGAGGCTGCTTACTAGCTCGGTAATGGTGACTAATCATTTAACCTCTCTGGGTTCAGTGCTCTCCTCTGTGAAGTTGGGGGCGGGGGGCTTGGTTCCCTCCTACAGAACTGTAATGAATCCTGGATGGGATAATGCTCCAGCCCTGGGCCTGGGCCCCGTGCATAGCAGATACTCAATAGCATCAGGACAATTTTCATACCTAAAATGTGGGGCCAAGTCTCACCACCTTACAAAGCATCCTCTGCTCCCAGAAGAGAGGCCCGGGGGAAAGAGCCCCCTGGTGTATGGAGGGGTGTCTCTATGGCCAGGTCCACATGCTTCCCTCCACGAGCCCAGGCCCCTCATCCTCCTGCCCAAGGCACTCAAAGCTAGAGCCTCAATGACCCCCAGTAAGTGGTGGGCCCCGGCTTCTGGAAAGGGCACTTACTGGTCTAATACCACCACGTCCCAGTGTTCCGTGTACTGGCGGGCCAGCCTCAGGGCCAGGTCATTGGCTTCTGACCTATGACAGAAAAGGAGGGCAGTGCTCAGACAGCTGTCCAGGTCTTTCCTCCTGGATACCTGCTTCCTACAGAGAACAGGGAACGAGGAGCCCTTCCAGCAGCAGGAAGAGTCTCAGGATGCTATTTGTGAGTTGTCTGAGTTCATTCACTCAATGAAAATTTTACCAAATGCCTTCTATGTTCTATGAGCTGGGGGAGCGGGGCAAGTAGTAAGTCAAACAGGTCCTAGCCCTTCTGGAACTTATATTCTAGTATGCGTCATGAAAGCCAAGCCAAAGCAAACCAAAAACAACAAAAAAAGGAAAGAATGATCATTTTGGTAAGTGCCCCCAAGAGAACCACACAGGGCCTCCCTTTAGATAAAGGGCTGAATTGTGTCCCTCCAAATTCCTATGTTGAAGTCCTAACTCCTAGCACCGAAGAACATGACTGGATTTGGAGACAGGGCTTTCAAAGAGGTGATTCAATTAAAATGAGGGCAGCAGAGTGGGTCCTAGGCCAGTTGGACCCGTGTCCTCCTAAGAGGAACTGTGGACATACAGAGACACAGGAGGGGTGCAGGCACAGAAGACTGAGTGAAGACGCAGCAGGAAGATGGCCAATCACAAACCAGGGAGAGAGCCTCAAGGAAGCCAAAGCTGCTGACCCCTTCTTTTGGATGTTGGCCTCCAGGAATAGGGGAAATACATTTGTCACTTAGGTCTCCCAGTCTGTGGTGTTTTGTTACGGCAGCCTAACCTAATACAGGGGTCAGAGAAAAACTGTGAGGAGACACTACCTGAGCTGTGGCCCCACAGGGAAGGTTCTAGGCAGCGTGAGCAACACGCTCAAAGGCCCTGTGCAGGAAAAGTGCTCAAGTGTGCTCAGGGAACCGAGACGGCACAAGGGAGGCCGGGGGCAGCACGGGAGAGGAAGTGGGGAGACACTCAGGGGCCCTGGAAGGTGCTGGATTTTCTTGTCAGTGCTGTACCAAGCTATTGAAGAGAGTGTTTTTTCCAAAAGATTTTAAGTTATCTCCATACCTGATGTGGGGCTCGAACTCACAACCCAAGATCAAGAGTCACATGCTGCACCGACGGAGCCAGCCAGGCACCCCTGAGAGTTTTAATTGGAGAAGGGACATGATTTAGCTCCTACCTGGGGAGGAAGTCTCTGGCTGGGTGGGGCTAATGGAGTAGAAGGGGATGGGAGGAGAGCTAGGAGGACACCATGGAGAGCAGAAAGATGGACGGAGTTAGAAGACAACCTGCGGACAGACGACAGGGACGTGATGGGGGTCTGGGAGGAGGGTGTGTGGCTCCTGCCTGGAGCGGAGATGCAGATAGTGCCGCCTTTACGAGGTGAGACAGGGTGGGCGTGGCAGTGGGGGGGGTGTCCTCCTGGGAATACCTGGGAGAGCCAGCGCCACGGTCCCACACCAGCTGTTGGTGGAAGACCACCAACTCTGTTTGGACACATCAAGTTGGAGACGGTCTGGTTGGAACCTTGAGGCTGGAACACATGGGAAGCATCTGGGCTTGAGGCACAAATTTAGGAATCACCAGCACGCGGATACTATGCTGGCCCACAAGACGGGGTGAGACCACGGAGGGAGAGGGCTCAGAGAACCAGCTGCTTAGGACCGGCCCTGAGCAAGAGAGGAGGAGCAATCAGCCGAGGAGACAGGAGAACGAGGCATGGCCAGAAGCTGGCAGAAACCCCGCAGCATGAAGCGTCTTGGAAGTAAGACCAGAGAGCACTTCCAGACAGTGGTAATGCTGAGTCCACTGCTGAGACAGGGTAAGACAAGGACAGCAAAGACATCGCTGGATTTGGCAACGTGGAAGTCGCTGGAATCCAGCCTGAATGTGGCGGCGTCAACTAGCAACCCTGCCCCCACTGCCCAGCCCAGGAAGCTGACTCCCGGACCCAGCTCTCTGCTCTTCCCGGAGAGGCTCTGGTTCCGGCTCTGCCTTCTCCCATGTGGATGACCCTGGGCAAGCTGGATCCTTTCTCTGAACTACCATTTCCTCATCCGCAAAGCGAGGATGGGAAATTCCACTTCCTAGAAATGACCAGGGACTGGTGCATGAAGAAGACATCACTTTGATCCAAATGCCGCGATGCGGGATTTGTGGGAATGTTCTCTCCCAGACAGGCTGGGCTGGTTCTATGCACAAGTCATCGTGTGCTGATGTGCATCATCGCTTCTGTCCCCACTGCCACTCCGGGTGTGAGCGACCATCACCTGTCAGCTGGCTGTTGAACTGGTGCCTAACCCTGTCCATTCTCGCTCTTCCTCGGCCCCCAATGACATCACTTGCCTGATTAAAACCCTCAGACAGCTTCCCGAATGCTCTCAGGATCAAAACAAACTCCTCACTTTGAATGTATCCGCTCGTACCTGCTCCTCTCCCTTTGGGTCCTCAAGTGTGCACAGGGCCTTTGCACAGGCTGTTCTGTGGGCTGCGGGACCCTGACAAGAATACTTCCAACGGGGTGGGCAGCTTCCTTCCTCCTCATCAGCTCCGTGCCTGGTAGTGCTCCTTCAGGGCAGCCTTCTCTGACCGTCTCTGAGCAGGAGCAGGCCCAGGGCCCCCCACTGCTTCTCCATCTCATCAGGCCCCTTACTTCTCCTCCAGACAATGACCCCCCCACCTTAGGAATTCTGCGTTTATGTGAAGGACCCCTAGTGACGAGGGTGGGGATGTTGGCTGTAACCCCCCAGCTGTGCCAGTGTACTCATAGGGCAGAAATAAAGGAACGTATGACCTGGGTAAGCCCCAAGGATGACCATGGAATGGAGGTAAAGGCATGCCTTACGAAGAGACCAGAAAACTGGATCCAACAGAGCCAGCACCCAGGTCTACAGGCTGAGCCAGGGCAAGCCTGGCTCTCCCCCAGAACACATTGGGTCCACTACACGAGGTTTCGCCTGCGGGAGCAGTTCTGTCTGTCTCCACCATCTCACCCTCTGGCCCGGGGAGGCGGGGGCGGGGAGCTGGCCGAAGTCCACTTACCCAGAATTCAGGAAATAAAACACACAGAGCTTTTCCGGCAGGGTCTCTGCCAGCCTCTGTGCGTAGTCCACGATGTTGTCGTGCAGGTACCGGCTGTTGGTGTTGAGCACCTGGTTCTGTCCGTGTGCGGCCTGGACCACGAGAGGGTGGCAGTGCCCGACTGGGAGAGAAACACCTTCGTCACTCAGTGGTTCCGCTCAGCTGGCCCCACTGGGCCTCCCCCAGCCCCGGGCCATAAACCTAGCCAGAAGAGAGCAGTTGGGTGGGAGAGGAAAAGGGGGGGGGCTCAGGATGGTGTGTGTGTGTTGGAGTGGGGGGGACGGAGACGGCGGTTCTGGACAGGGAGACCTGGAAAGGAGTCCCTGAGATTCTGGCAGAAGGAAAGGCTGCTGGCGGAGACCCTATCTAGAGAATCCAGGGAAGCTTCTTGAGGCCGGTTAGGCAAAGATGGGATGTGGGGAATGTGTGTCAGCAGGCTTGACTTCAACTAGTCAGTGGGGGGGCTGGAGGTAATGTGGATTGCCAACAGCCGGGGATTATAACAGTGACCATGTGCTGAGAGCTCACCACGTGCCAGGCACACTCAGAGCAAATTATTTGAATTAACTCATTTATTTCTCCAAAACGCCTTGAGGTGAGGTGCTAGTGTGATCGTGTCTGTTTTGCAGATCAGCAAACTGAGGCACAGAGAATTAAGTAGCTTACCCAAGATCATAAAGTGGAGGGGAGGGATATGAACCCAGTAGTCTGGACTAGAGCCCCGGCTTTTAACCTCTACTTCATTAACCCCTATTGTGCCCGTTGGGTCAGACTCCCTTTCGTTCCATCAGTTCTGGGGGCCCCACCTGGATAACTGAATTCCTACCTCAGTTTCCTTGTCTAGCACCTGAGAAGGTCCCTGGGGCTGAAGCCCTGCCATGACCCCCAGCACTTGGCCAGGGCCCTGCTGTGTGGCTGGTCATGGCCAGGCTGACACTCTTGGGCTCACCATCAGTCCCAAGTGGGCCTGGACTTCAGACCTAGGTTTCCGACTCCTGTCTGGTTTAGCACAGCTACCACCTGGATACTCTAGAGTAGCTACACCAGAAAGACTGGGCTCCTCTGCTCAGCTTAACCCAAGTTCTCCACACCTCTCTGCAATCTCAGGATCCCCCTGGGACCAGGTTCACAGCCTCAGCCCGCTCCCCTGCCCTGCCAGCCCAAGGGATGATACTAACCATGAGCCACATTGTTGATACAATCCAGGTATTCTGCACCCTGTTCGTCATACAAGTACTGTCCTTGACCCCGGACAATCTTAATAGGATCCTCCGGAAAAAAGAGTCTGCAAGAATCGCTGTGAGAACAAGTGGACAGCCATGTCTGAAGATCTGAATGGAAAAGTCCACCCACCACAGCCTCCCCCCGCCCTTTTCTGGGAGGGACAAAAGGTTGAAGGGCACAGTGGTGCTTCCTTGTTTCTGGTCCCCCACTGTATAGGTGGCTGGAAAGGAGGAAAGTGATGTGTTAAGAAGCTGCTAAAACTGAAATTGCTGAAGTCATTTGAAGGCTGTATGACCTTGCTCATTTCTGCATGTGCCCCCATTAGTCCCTGGGATCCCAAGGAAAGGTGGCTGCCCCAGACCCATGGGGACTCCTTAGGGCAGTATTTCTTTGCTGGGATGGGTGCGAGGGAGGGCGCCCCCTTTACGTGGCTGGCGCTCAGCCCCGAGTGGTCCTTGCCAGCCAAGCGTCTCTGCTGTCCCGCTGGGTGTCAGCCCCAAGCTCTGGCCAGAAGCTGCCTCACGCCCCAAGTGCCGCGGAGAGCACGGGTGGACTTTCTCTAAGGCTTCTTGGGAAACGCCCCTCCCCGCCCATGCCCACCCTTCGTCCGAACTTTGAGCCTCTTCCCGGGTCACCCGCAGGCCAGGCCCAGGTCCGGGGGGCGGGCCAACCCTGGGGGAGGTCCTCCCAGGTGCCAGGGCAGAGGCCTCCTCCGAGGGGCAAAGGCTGCCCAGAGCCGGGCAGCGGCCGCCGCTGGGGGCTGCCCGGGGAGGACGCAGTGCGGGAGGCGGCCGCGGGGACCAGCTGCTGGCCGCCGGGTCTGGCGGGCCGGGGAGCTGGAGCCCGCTCGGGGCCCGGGGGCTGGGGTTCCTGGGCTCCGCGGGCTCCGCGCCCGACGTGCGTGCGTCGTGCGTGAGCGCACCGCCCCGCGCCGCCGTCTCGGTACCTTATCAGCCGCCGCCTCAGGGCCAGAGTCTCGGCCTTCCCGCGCCGATCGGCGGCCATGGCACCCGGCGGCTGGTCGCGCGGAGACGCTTCGCCGAGAAGCCTCTCGCCTGCTCGGCCGCCAGACCCCGCCGCGGCCCCGCCCCCGCCGCGGCCCCGCCCCCCCCGCGGGTTCCCTCCCTGGGAAGGGCTCCTGGGTGACCCCGCGGCTGCTCTGTATCGCTGCAGAGTTCTGAGCTCAGGCTGTCTTTATACACCAGCCTTCCTGGTGTATACAGTGGGTTGCCCCGTGAGCGTTAACTGGGAATGTGTGACAGACACCTATCCCAGGGCCTGGTTCACAACAGGAGCCTCAGGGGAGGAGATGAGATCATCAGGGCTGGGGCCCGACCTAGGACTCCCCAGTCTCAGGAACAAGCCGCAGGAGGGCGCAGTGTCACTGCTAGGACTGACCAAGGGGGTCATGGGCCTGGCTAGAATCCAGGCAGGGTGAAGGGACACACGCAGTGTTTTGGCAGGAAGAGCGTTGGGAGGCCTGCTGGGAGACCCCGGGGCCGGAAAGGACAGGGATTGTGCTCCCCAGACACACAGCAAGTGTGCAGCCGAGGCCAGACTCCAGCTGGGCTCTGCCTGTCAGTCCAGTGAGTGAGAAGCAATCGCTGGCCCCCAAGGCGCTGGGAAGCTGGGCAACCAGAGAGATAACCCCGACTTGGGTGGGGCCCCGGGACTTTCTGCCTTGACAAACCCAGAACAAGGGCCCTAGGTTGCAGCCTGAGCAAGCTGGGGAAGGGGAGGTTCCTGCTGTCCCTCCTGTCACCTTTCAAGAGTCTCAACCCTCTGCTTTGCTCCCTCATTGCTGATTTCTTCATCTCTTCCCCCCACGCTGTAAAATGCTTAAGGTATTTATTAAAGAACATTTGGAGTTTCTTTTTTTTTAAGTTGTGGTAAAGTGTACAGTTCAGTGGCATTTTAAGTACATTCACGTTGGGCAACCATCACCACCATCCAGCTCCAGAACTTCTTTGTCTTCCCAAACTGAGTTAGAAAGGAGTGGAGGAAGGGCGCCTGGGTGGCTCAGTCGGTTAAGCATCTGCCTTCTGCTCAGGTCATGATCCCAGGGTCGTGGGATCGAGGCCCACATTGGGCTCCCTGCTCAGCGGGCAGCTTGCTTCTCCCTCTCCCACTCCCCCTGCTTGTGTTCCTGCTCTCACTATCTCTCTCTTGCTGTCAAAAAATAAATAAAATCTTGGGGCGCCTGGGTGGCTCAGTCATTAAGCGTCTGCCTTCGGCTCAGGTCATGATCCCAGGGTCCTGGGATCGAGCCCTGCATCGGGCTCCCTGCTCCGCGGGGAGCCTGCTTCTCCCTCTGCCACTCCCCCGCTTGTGTTCCCTCTCTCGCTGTGTCTCTCTCTGTCAAATAAATAAATAAAATCTTAACAAAAAACACAAAAAATAAAATCTTAAAAAAAAAGGAGTGGGGGAGGGGAAGTCTGAGAGTCCCGTTTGGGCCCCATCTTTGGCCCGGTCTCTTGCCCACACACAAGCCTCTTGTGGCCCAGGGCAGCGCAGAGAAGTCAGGTTGGCTCAGGGACTGTCCCTGCCTTGGGGTAAGGGTGAGAAGGTTGCAGTCAGGCCCATATCATAGCTCATCTACTCCTGGGGTGTCTGGGTCCAGGAGGCAGTACCAGGAGGCTGGAGGTGAGAGCAGGCTGGGCCATTTCTGGGCCAAGAGTGTCTCCAACACGGTCAGGACCACAGCAGGAAGCTTCGCCTTCTTCCTGCTCAGAAAAGCCCACTCCTTGCCTCCACGCTCAGCACTCCTCCGTTACCTCGAGGTACCACCGGAGGCCTAGAGGGCAGGGGGTGGGAGGAAGGGGCTGAATCCGGATTTGAGTGTCAGCAGTGTCCCCCAGTCACTGTGACAACCACTAGCACCCCGTGTGTTTCTAGCAGTATCCTGGGGATCAGGAGGCCTGCGTAGACCTCCTCTTCCACCTCAGTTCATCTGGAAAAGGAGATAGTAATCCTTGTGGTTAGTCTAGCCGCCATGGCCGACAGCGGGGCTCAGTAAATGTGCTTCCCTCGCTTTGGAAGGGGAGAGTCTGAGGCAGAGAGACACGAGGCTCTCAGTCCTTGAGGCTCAGCTGTGAGGCTGGGAACAAATCCCGAGTCTCAGCTGGGACCCCGAGCACATCATTCTTCTCCAGTCTCTTGCCCCACCAACCCAAGGTTTTGGAGGACTCCACCCGCTCTGTACTTTGAAGCTTGTTGAAATTTGCAGACCTGATGATACACGGTCCGAGGCCACAAGGGGGCAACAATGGGCTATGAATGGACTTGTCTGGCCAAGGGAGCTCCGAGGTCAGGGGGAAGAGGGTACATGTGGTTGCCACCCCCAGGAGGATCGGACTGCCAATCACCCAACATCTTGACACTGCCTAGCCGACTCCATGCCCTGCCAAACAATTTGGAAGGACCAACTGGAGGCCATCCAAGAACCTGGGCCCAGTCTGCCTGTCACCCTGTCTTGGCGGTCCATCCCTGGGCAGGTGACGAACTGCTCAAGAACCTCAGTTCCCTCATATGTACAATGGAAACAGGGACACGGATCACATAGACCCTGTCCTTCACAGGACTGGTTATGGGATCCAGTGAGGCACCTGGGTGGAGGGAGGAGTGGATTACAAACTGTCGAATACATTCCATCTGTGAGGTTCTGCTGGGGCTCCAAAGGATGCTTGGATACCCAGTGATCTCCGTCAGGCACCCGAGCCCCACTGTGCTTCTGTCCCTGTCCACAATCCTGACTTCCCCAGTGAGCCCCACAACCACCCAGCTGAGCCCATTTCCCCCAGAATGGTAAGAGAGAAATATTGTTGTTTCAAGGTAAGCTCTGGGGTGATATGTCATGCAGCATTCATTGGTCATCGGATCAGGGGGGCATATGGGGACTCCGTGATATGAGTGAGTGGACACAGGGCTCAGACGGTATATGGCAGGGCCAGGCCTTGGGTCTTTCTAACTCCAAACCCTCTCTTTGCCCTGACCCTGAACAATCCTCTGGTTTGTTCCTCTGGTTTCTGGGGTAGCTCTGACCCAGGGAGTGTCCCCCTTGTCCCTCCCCACCCAGAGGTGCTTAGGGGCAGTGTGCAAGGACAGGCACACCCAGACACACATTGGGGTTTATTACACGCAGTGATATCCATCTATACAGAGAAGGGGGGCAAGCCGCTGCGCTGGAGGCGGCAGCTGGGGACTCTTGTTGGAGGTGGGGAAGCCTCTTTCCAGAGCACCGGTGGCTGGGTCTCAGACCCTCCTGCGCAGGCTGGCCCGGAACCAGCCCCAAGACCCTCTTTGTCTGCACAGCTCATCCAAAGGACCAGTTTTGGCAGGCTGGCCAGAGTCTTCTCCCGTGGGCGAGTTGGGGCCAGTGAGGCCCAAACTCTGAGCTGCAGGCCAGTCTCCTCGGGCTGGCAAAGTCTCATCGTGACCCTCTTCTGGGTGCTGCTGCGAGATACCTGGGAAGCATCAGCCCCTCCCGTCTGGGACCCCACCGTCCTCTGCACTCGGGGAGCATGAGGCTTCTTTGCAGCTGGGTCCTCAGGTGGTGGTCAGAGTGCTTGGCCTCTCCTCCAGACCAGAGGACACGTGTTCTCATGGCAGGCTGCACCCCTGAGGCCTCCTGAACTTGGTGGGAGCTAGAGCCCCTGGGGGCTGGGCAGGAATCTTGTCCTGCCCAGGGGAACCTGGGACCCAGAGGGGTCCCGAGGGGTGGGCAGCTGACTGTGGCTGAGTCCAGAGGCCAGAGAGGCTGGGACAGCTGCATTTACTGTCCAAGCTCTGGGCCTTTCTGGATGGAGCCGGCCCCAGGGCTCTGGAGCTTCGGGGGTGGGGTGGGGTGGGGTGGGGTAAGTCTCTCTGCTAATCAGGTGGCCGAGGGCCCAACCCAGCATCTCTGCAGCCTCTCCTGAGCCAGGCGCTTTCACCTTCGTCTCCTTCCTGGGAAAGCCAAGTCCCACGGCTGTCCCCCCACGAGGACACCATTCCCCTGGATTGGACTGTCTGCTTTCCTGCCAGCTTCCAATGCTGATCATTCTGGGGCTGGGCCACGTACCCTCTTGAATGTTATAAGGACACAGGGGGTGTATCCCGTGAAAAAAGATCAATATATTACTGTTTTTTGTTTTTGTTTTTGTTTTTTTACAAAAATTAAAAATGTCCACACGCATCTGTACAGGTTGTGAGCTGGGTGCGGGGGTCACTGGAAGAGAAGGGAGAGACCGAAGGTGAGCAAGGAGGCCCCAGAGGCCCCGCCCTTGTCTGGGCATCCTGTCCTGCCCATTTCTTCTAGAACACGCATGCCCCAGTCCTCTCATCCCCGGCTCAGGGCTTCTACCTCCTCTCAGTGGGGCAGTTTGGACAAAATCCCAGGCTTTGTCCTGGCTGGGCCAGGCACTGAGTGAGCCCAGGGTGGGCTGTGCCCAATCACCCAGGACCACGGCCCCAAGCCTTGAGCCACCTGATGGGAGAGTCAAAACTAGGGTCATGTCATCATGGGGAAACCCAGCTATTCAGGTGCTGTTGGGGAGCTGCAGATATCAGCCCTTGGGGGCCCCCTCGTTGTCCCCCTCCTCCCAGCCTGCCCTAGAGACTCTTCCCTGCAAGGTACCTTATGCCAGCAGCCGGGCACGGGCAGCCCATCGGGGCCCTGGAAAAGAAAAAGGTTTTAGTGATGGGGCGGGGGGACTGATGAGCTCCCTGCACTCCATACACTCTTGCCCTGGGTGTCGGGAGGTGTAGCCCTGGGAGCTGCCACACGAGGCCAATGGACCCCACCAAGGCAGGGCGCGAATGCTTGTCCACCTGGGTAGTCGGGTCACGAGACAGGTGGGCCTCTCACTGCGCTTGCTCTGAGTGCATCCCTACGGGGCTTTGTTTGTTGGGACACCTGGGCAGGGGACAGAACCGGGGCACCGTGGAGGATCGGGGGTTGTGCTGGAATCTGCTGGCCAGGAGATCGAAGCTCCTGACGCTGGCTCTGGCCCCTCACGCGGGGGCCTGACAGCTCTAGGGAGTTTCATCAAGAGCGTTTGAAGGACAGTCCAGGAAGCAGGATGCCCCTGCAGCCTGTCCTGGTCCCTGTGTCTGGGTCTGAGGGGCAGACGGGGCAGGATGAGGCTCTCAGGGTAGAGAGCGGGGTGGGGGTTGGGGCACCAGCAAAGCCAACGCTGGCTCAGCACTCAGACACAAGATGGGGTGGGGCGGGTGTCCCAGGCAGCCCGGAGGGCGGGGGAGCTGGAGAGGGGCCATGGCTGACCCGTCAGTCAGCCTAGAGTCTCTGGGGAACCCCGGCACGGAAAACACTTCACTCTGGAGGCACCCATGGGAGCACAGCCCCCAGAACTGCCGTGGCCCCACCAAAGGGAAGGGGGCAGGAGGGGGTGGAAGGAAGGGAAGGCAGGATAGAGGAGAGGGGGGTCAGAGTGGTGGGCACAGGTGCCCGGAATGCCCTGCCCTGCCCAGCCCCACCCAGCCCAGCACACAGCACACAGCAAGCCACATCTCATACCGCAGGGCAGGGCCCCCCGGAGCCCGGCGCCCCTCACTTGCCTCCACATTTGGGATTCTCCTGTTTCAAAGACAAAGGCTGAATGACTTGGATGGAAGTCTCGGCCCAGGGCCTGGAGCAGCGAGGCTGGGCCCCCCGCGTCCCCCTGCACTTTATGCCTACCACTCTGCTCTTCTTGTCTTTTTCTCATTCACCCCTCAAGCCATCTGGGGGTAGGGAGTAGCACCCTCACTGCATGGATGGGGAGACTGAAGAACAGAGGACCGGGCCTCTGGGATCCCTCACCCAGGATCCCCCTTTGTTAGGTGGCCGGCACGCATTGGGGCTGGGGATGGCCCGGGTATGGCTATCTGCTCGGTCTTAGTCTGGAAACGCCCTGCTTTGGGGCGCTCCACGTCCGAGTCTGATGTGTGAACCCTCCCAGCCCTGCGGGGAAGGGAAGTGAAGTGTGGTTCCATCAGGCCTGTGGTCTGGTGGGCCGAGAGAAGGAAAGGAGGAAGGTGTGGGGAGCAGGGAAGGATTCTGGGGCATGCAGAGGAGGTGCAGGGGCCAGGTGGGGCCACCCACACCAGCCAAAGCCTCCTAACCCCCTTTAGGGCCAAGGAAGCTGAGAAATGAGAGGCGGTGACGCTGGCAAGGACTCTGCCCCGGGGAGGGGGTGGGTCGCCCTGAACCATGCCCCTGAAGGGATTCAGGACCAGAGCGAGGGGAGCCTCCGTGATGGCAGGGACAGCCATGGTGGTCTCTCGGGACTTGCAAGTGAGCTATGTGGACAGAGAAGACATAGTCCCGAGGCGGCGAAGACCTGGGGTGGGGCTCCCACTCTGCTCCGACACGTACCACAGGACATGGCTGGTCCAGGCCCGGTGGTCCTGGCTCACCCTTCTGGCCCTTCACGCCTTTCCGGCCCGGGACGCCTCGCTCCCCCTGCACAAGGAGGGAGATGGGGGCATGGCCATGGCTGCCAGGCCCAGGACCCCTTTTCCACTTCTCAGAGGGATGGGCCTCCAGCTGGCAGCCACCCCTGTCGTGCTGCACCCGCCTCCAACCTCCCCCTGCCCTGGCTCCTTTCCTGCTGCCCCCCTTCTCTCCACGTGCTCCCCACCTTCTCTCCACGTTCGCTCCGGTCACCTTTCTCTCCTCGGGGCCCAGGGAACCCCTGGCCAAAGGAATAAAATGAGGTTTGAGGTTTGCTCTTGCTCTCCGTTCATCTCCATGACCCTCCCATCCGTCACTGCCCTGCCCCCATGCCTATTGGTGGCAAAAACTGGGCCCGGTCCAGCTCCTAGGTGACACGTAGGCTGGGTGCAAGGCTGGTTTAGAGACAAGTGTGCATTCAGGACACCAGCGCTGCTTCCTCCACGGGAGAACAGTGCCGGTGTCTCTGGACAGACGCCCTCAGGCAGAGTGGCCGGCCAGGGGCTTTCTCTTGCGTCTCTGTCCCATGCAGCTGGTGCTGGCCCAAGCGTGGCTAGGGACAGAGACTCAGGAAACTCGGGATGTTTGTGTTACTATATTTGCCAGACTAAGAAATCATGACCTCCGTTCTCTGCCTCTGGCTTGATCTCTTATGCCCCTACCCGCCCATCCACCCATCTGTCCATTCGTCCATTTGTCTATCCACTCATGCAACCAACATTTCTAAGCATCCACTAGGAACTGCGTTGTGGGCTGGATACTGAAGACAGAGAAACGGATTTGATGGGTCTCTCCTCTCCCCCTTTTTATTTTCTGTGTCTGAGGATGTTTTGACATCTTGAACTTGCTGGGCAGGGACAGGCTGCCCTGCCCTCACGCCCGCTCTTAGGGGTAACAAAGGGCGGGCCTGGGAGCACGTTTCATATGTAAACCAACAATCTCCCCCCTCCCCCCCCCCCCGTCATCCCCCTTATCTGCCTCTCACGCACAAGCTGATACTTCCTCTGCCCTAAATTATCCCCAGGCCGGGTACCAGGACGCCAGGGGGCCACCCCTCCAGCCCAGAGCCCGCCTGCATCGTTCATACTTGCCCGTCTTCAACTGTTTCCTGTGCCCGGCCTGCCTTCCCTGAGGAAACCCACATAAAAGCTCTGCCCCCCCACCCCTTTCTTTCCCCCCACCAAACCTGGTGCTTCCCCATGGGGCACTGCATAGCGAGGTGAGCCCTTCCCTCGGGAACCCTAATAGCCCACTCTCTCTTCAATGGCATTGACCTCTCTGGGTCGTCACTCGGTCACCTCCGTAAATTAAAACCCCGCAGGAACAAATGGGACACTTCCCTCACGGTCTAACATGACAGGCAAGAGGGCAGAGAAGATGATGGTCGATGCTCAGTGACACAGGATGAACCAGATGCCATGGGGTCCCGGGGAGAGGGGCTGTTCTACCCGGGTCTGAGATCAGGGAGGCTGAGCAGAATCCCCATGGCAGCTGGGCCTGGTGGAGTGGGCGCGGGGCCGAAGGCTTGCCAGCTAGAGCAGGTGGGCATGGCTTTGAGATGCTGCTCTGAGCCATGAAGGCCACCGAGGCCACACTCTGGACCTCCCTGGGTCCAGAGGGTGAACAGGATTCAGCATTGGCTTCTTCTCTGGACCGTCTCAGGGATGGACCACCACACTCCCAGTCAGAAACTCTGTGTGTCTGCAGTTGCTCTCCCAGGGGACATTCTCTCCTCCAAGTCCAGGGTGGACACCAGAGTCCCTGCAGCCCTGATTCTGGTCAGGGAGCATGTGATCAGGCCTGGCCAACCAGGGCACTGCATTTCTTATGGCCAAGTTGATGTTTCAGCATTGACCCAACTGGGGCCAGTGAGAACTGATGAGTCTTTTCTAAAAGGAGAGTGAAGCACATAGTCATTCTCCAGGGTTTGGGTCTGGGAGGATGTGGGTCTGGGGCTATTGCCTCCATCCCATCACCACACCTAACTTGAAATGATACCCCCACAGCAGAAGCACAGATAATAAGCTTGAGAGGCTGGGTTGTGTGGATTTTGCATTGTCCCTCTGGATTTTTCAGTTAGGAGTCAGTTTAAGCCAGTTTGAACTGTTTTCTGTTGCTGGCAACCCAGACACTTGATCCAATCAACTTTGGACTAATATTTCCTCTCCTCTCCTTCCCACAGTAATGTCCTAGCTGAAGCTTCATCATCTCTCACCAGGATATTGCAACACTGCTCTCCTCACCTTCCTGTTCCAATGCATCATCCTTCCGTCCAGTTATCCATCATCCATTCACCCATCATCCATCTACCCATCTTCCATCCACCCATCATCCATCACCCATCTTCCATCCATCACCCATCCACCCATCATCCATCCATCATCCATCTATCCATCTTCCATCCACCCATCATCCATCCTTCCACCCATCCATCATCCATCCACCCATCGTCCATTCATCCATCATCCATCCTTCCACCCATCCATCACCCATCCACCCATCTTCCATCCACCCATCACCCAACCACCCATCATCCATCCATTCATCCACCATCCATCCAATCATCATCCATTCATCCACCATCCATTCAACCACCATCCATTCATCCACTATCCATCCACCCATCTTCCATCCACCCATCACCCAACCACCCATCATCCATCCATCCATCCACCATCCATCCAATCATCATCCATTCATCCACCATCCATTCAACCACCATCCATTCATCCACTATCCATCCACCCATCTTCCATCCACCCATCAGCCATCCTTCCACCCATCCATCACCCATCCACCCATCACCCATCCACCCATCATCCATCCATCCATCCACCATCCATCCAATCATCATCCATTCATCCACCATCCATTCATCCACCATCCATCCACCCACCATCCATCCACCCATCTTCCATCTACCCATCATCCATCCACCCATGATCCATTCTTCCACCCATCCATCACCCATCCACCCATCTTCCATCCATCCATCATCCATCCACCCATCATCCATTCATCCACCAATCTTCCATCCACCCATCACCCATCCACCCATCATCCATCCATCCATCCATCCACCATCCATCCAACCATCATCCATTCATCCACCACCCATTCATCCACCATCCATCCACCCATCTTCCATCTACCCACCATCCATCCACCCATCTTCCATCCATCCATCCACCATCCATCAACCATCATCCATCCACCCAACTTCCATCCATTACCCATCCACCCATTATCCATCCATCCATCCATCTTTCATCCACCCATCACCCATCCATCCACCCATCATCCATCCACCCACCATCCATCCACCCATCCACCATCCATCCACCCATCATCCATTCATCCACCATCCATCCACCCAGCATCCATCCACCCAACTTCCATCCATTACCCATCCACCCATCATCCATCTACCCATCAACCACCCATCACCCATTCACCATCACCCATCCACCCATCATCCATCCATCCATCCATTCATCCATCCATCCATCATCCATCCACCCATCATCCATCCACCCATCATCCACCCATCACCCATTCACCATCACCCATCCATCCATCATCCATCCATCCATCCATCCATTCATCCATCCATCCACCATCCATCCACCCACCCATCATCCATCCATCCAACCATCATCCATCTACCCATCATCCACCCATCATCCATCCACCCACCATCCATTCATCCACCATCCATCCACCCATCTTCCATCCACCCATCATCCAACCACCCATCATCCATCCAACCACCATCCATCCACCCACCCATCTTCTATCCATCCATCTTCTATCCATCCATCCACCATCCATTCATCCACCCATCATCCATCCACCCATCATCCATCCACCCATCTTCCATCTACCTATCATCCATCTACCCATCATCCATCCATCCACCATCCATCTACCCATCATCCACCCATCACCCACCCACCATCACCCATCCACCCATCATCCATCCATTCATCCATCCATCCATCATCCATCCACCCATCTTCCATCTACCCATCATCCATCCACCCATCTTCCATCTGTCCATCCATCCACCATCCATCCATCCATCCACCATCCATTCATCCAACCATCATCCATCTACCTATCTTCTATCCATCATCCATCCACCCAACATCCATCCATCCACCCACCCACCCAACTTCCATCCATTACCCATCCACCATCATCCATCCACCCATCACCCATCCATCCATCTTCCAGCCACCCATCATCCATCCATCCACCCTCATCCATTCATCCATTATCCATCCACCCATCTTTCACCCACCCATTATCCATCCATCATCCACCCATCCATCATCCATCCACCCATCTTCCATCCACCTATCACCTATCCATCCATCCATCCATCCATCCACCCATCAAGTACCTACTCTGGGCTGTGAACTAGACTTGGCACTGGGGACCCAGAGGAAACCAGTCAGTTGGGAGTCCCAGCCCTGAGGAAGGGGGTCACATCCAAGCCCAGCAGATCAGATTACTGTACGGTCAGTGCAAGGGCAGAAGCTACACACAAGAAGAGCCTGATCACTGTGAACGATGAGATACTTACATCTAGTCCTGGCTCCCCAGGTCTTCCCTGAAGAGAGACAAAGAGGACATGTAAGGGGCCAGGGAGGGGGTGTTGGGAGCACTACTGCTGGGATGTTCAGCCTTGTGAGTTGTCCACAAGCCTGATTTCTGGCTCTGGGATGGTGTAGTGCAGGGGGTTGAGTCCCCAAGACCGAGTGACACCGTAAACGTGCAGCCATACTTGGTAGGCATTAAAGGAAGGTCATTACCTTCTCTCCTTTGGTTCCTGGCAGCCCGATAAGGCCTGGCGGGCCAGCTGGCCCCTGGGTGGAAAAGGAATGGGTCAATTACAGGAATTAGTTACAGGAATTAGTGCCCCAGAGGGATAAACGAGGCTCATGACACTCACAGGCAGGCCGCTGGGGCCTCTCTCACCCAACACACCCTTCTCTCCCTTTACTCCATCCAAGCCCTGGAAGCGAAGAGGAGACATCGGTCAGGGGGAAGGGCTCAGACAGACAGCAGGACAGGAAAGCTTGGGGCCTCAGTGTGAGCTGGGGAGTGCAGGGCAGAATGGACACCAGGCTCTCACGGGCTTGACCCCAGCTTCCTTCCAGTACAAACAGTAACCAGAACCCACACATGGGCTCCCTCACACCCATTTCACAGATGAGTAAAGACAGGCAGAGCGAGGGGCAGGGACAGGTCCAGACGCACAGCCAAGAAGCAGCAAGGCTGAAGACCCGTCGGGTTTCTGAGCCCCAGCCTTGGACCTCATCCCTGACAGCAGCTGCCTCTTCTAAACACGACCTCGGGAGGGCCGTGGGGCCAAACAGAACCAGAAGCAGCACATCTGGTCGGGCCATGTGCTTGGCCCCGCTCGGCTGTGGGATTCATGTCTGAGTCCCGCTGGCCTCTGGGCTGGGGAATCAGAGATGTACTCTCCCCCAGAGTGAGTGGAAGAGAAACCAGACCTAGCAAGCTGTGAAGCCAGCTGGCCTCCCCCACACGGGGCACATGGGCAGACCACACTCACGGTTTTAATTTAAGAGCAGAGATCATGACATTATGTAATATACACCAAACCCAAGACTTCATGTCCAGCCTGTGGGCAGTTGAGAGACAGCTCTGTGCGTAGGGGGCAGGGGGGAAGCGTGTACAGAATGGGGGCATGGCACAAGGAGGCAGAGGCTGCAGATGAGGGCTCGGGCAGAGGGACAGGGTGAAAGTACAGAGTCCCAGTGTAGGGCTAGGGGGCACCAGCTCCGAGGACATCAGGGAGGTTGTGCTCCAGGGGATTCAGAATGTTCAGGCCCTGGGATAATACAGAGCTGGTTTGGGGCCAAGTGCAGGGCTCTCACTGCTCATTAGCAAGGCTTTCTGGAACTATCCAGGCTGGGCATCTGCAGTGAGTAGAGGGGTTTCCAGAACTTACCTTGGGACCCTGGATTCCCTGAAGGCCCTGGAGGAGGAGGAGAGTGGTCACAAAGGCTTATAGGCCACTCACTGGCCCCGTGGCCCTGACCTCTGCAGACTCCCAAGCCCAGACCCAGGCTCTCCCATATTGCTTGATGTGTCCCCTCCCCACCGGAAATCCTGTCCTCCCCTGGGTCACAGCTCCAGGCCTGGGCTCACCACCCCTGCATATCTCAGCTACTTCACGCCAAACGTTCTTACCATGGGGCCTGGGGGACCAGGTGGGCCGGGGGGCCCCGGCGCCACTATGATCTGGGCCTAGGAAGCAGTCAGAGATGGGTTAGTCACCCCCGCCCCGTCATACCTCACTCGCCCACGCTTGAACGTACTGGGCATCAGATGAGCACTCCTGGCAGGGTGGTGCTGGGCCCTGAGCCACTGGGCTGAGTCTCTCCAGAAGGGCACTGCCTGGTGGGGGGCCCAGGGGCTGGCCTTTGGGGTTCTCAGACGGGCCTCAGTTGGAGGACATAGCCCGAGGTGCCCCCTTCCCCCTCCCTCGCTGCCCACAGAAAGGTGGCTTTTCTGTCCCAAGGTTTGGGGCCCCTGGGCCAGGCATTGAGGGGAGACCCTGGTCCTCAGCAGCCCCCCTTACCAGACTCTCCCGTAGGCTGTCAGATGCCGACTCTCCCTTTTCGCCCTTGCGACCATCGGTGCCCTGTAGGACAGCCTGGCCTTCAGCCCTTTCTGCCCATCACCAGACCCACCACCCACGGTGGTCAGCACCTCCCCTGCCTTCCCCATGAGGCCTCCAGCAGCAACGATGAGTTGGCCTTTGCAGCTTGAAGCAGTTTCCCCTAAATTGGTGACACGCGCTGGGTGCCCAGCAAGTGGGTGTTTGGAGAGCACACTGACAGCTGTATAAATTATTTCCTGGGGGGCAAGGGGGCACCCAGCTCTCTAGCTGAGGGAGCCCCATGGATGGACATCAGATGCGAAGAGGGGGCCCCTGCTGGCCACTTGAACCCACAGCTCTTTCTGTCCAGCCACAATGACTATGATGGTGGGTATTTTATCATGTGGCCAGCCACCACTCTCAGCCCTGTTGGGCAGGCCCTCGTGAGTGGGAGGAGGTTATCATCCCCTTTTTAGAGGTGGGGAAACCAAGGCCCAGGGAGGTCAGGACACTCGTGCAGGCTTCCAGAGCCAGCAGGGGACAGAGCAGGATGCAAACTTGAGCAGTCAGGGTGGGCTCTAACCACCCTTTGTGCCACCTTTGCGAAGGCCTTGGGAGGTAGGCGGTAGGTCCGTGTACAGAGGCTCAGAAGACCAAGCAGCGAGGGCTGAGTCCGAGCTTTCTTTCCAAGGCTCGGTGCCCCTGGGCCAGGTGGAGTTGGCAGGGCCCCAGCGGTGCCCCCCTCCCCCGCAGCTGCTGTTGTGGGCACACATTGGCCCTGGAACCCCACCGGGGGCAGAGTAGGGTGGGGCCCGCGCAGGCACCTACCGGGAGGCCCGACAGGCCCATCTCGCCCACCTCCCCTTTGGGTCCGGTCGGCCCAGCCTCTCCCGGGTCTCCTTTGGCTCCTTTGGGACCCTGCGAGCCACAAGAACAAGGGGTTGGTAGAACTCAGCAGCTATGTTCCCTTCCCCCACCCCAGAGGGTCCCCAGAGCTTAGTCCTGGCCAGGCTAGACCCCCACCCCTACGTCTTCATCCTGGGTCCCTGCCTCTGGCCCAGGCGGTGAATGCACCGAGGGGCCTGGATGAAGACAGGGGTGCAAGGGGGGAGGGGTGGAGGGAGTGGGACTGGGCAGCCCCTGCAGGGGCGCTTACAGAGCTTGGTGGGGGTCAACCCTGAGCTCGCATCTCAGGAACCTGCACCGGGAGCCCGCAGCCCCCACGTACAACCAACCATCCACCCAGTGCCCCTTCCGGCCACTCATTCTCTCTCCCAGCCAATCATGGAACGTCCAAGACGTGGCCCTAAAGCCACCGCCATGAATGTCCAGTGATGCCCCTGACACTGTGCTGTGTGTGGGGGGACACACAGGTGTGTACTTACAGCAATACTCATAGGACCCAGGGTAAGGGGAACGACATTAGCTAGCATTTGAAGACTCTTCCCTAGATTGCGCCCCGCACACTGCTCTGTGTTTTCCACACACACAATTACGTAAGTCTTACAACTGTGACCATCCTCCCCTCCAGGTGAGGATCTGAGGCTGCCAGAAAGTGAGCAGCTTGCCCGAGGCCTAAGGGCAGAACCAGGACGTGTGCCCAGGCAGTGTACTCTGTCCTGTGGCCTCTAACTCTGCGCGCGCACACACACACACACACATGTATGCACGCACACACACATGCACACACGCAGCCCACCACTAGGCACCAGGATCACCAAGCAAACGAAAGGCCCAGAGACCTTCTCTCCGTCGATTCCCGGGGCACCAGGCAATCCCAGCTCGCCCTGGAAGGGAACAGAAAGCAAGAGAGGTTACGGTGTCCCGTGGTTGAGCCTCAAGAGGGCCTTGTGGCTGGGCTGCCTCCTCTCCCCGATCAGCACGATGTCCCTGGGTTGGATCCCTGAAGTGGGTGGGGTCCAGGAAGGTGCCCACTGGGTGCGCAGCACCCTCCTCAGCTCCTCCGGGCAGATGCAGACCAGGGCTATAATTTACAGTCTGGGAAGTTACAGCTTGGGAAACTGAGGCTCGGGGGGGATCCAATGACTCGTTGCAGGCCACACAGCCCAGGGCAATGGCCGGGACCAGATCTTGCGATTTCCATGTCTCCTGAGCCACGCAGGCAGGCGGTAAACAATGTGTACTGGCCATGAGAACGGCTATGTCTGCCATCTATGGGACCTGGGGACGTCACGAGGGCTTACGCGTGTGACTGGGGCTTCCAGGGAGGAGCTAGGGCTGGGAGCAAGGCATCCAGCTTGGTTAGGAAGGAGCGGGGCCACGTTCTCTGAGCCCCCAGGAGCTGGGCCAGGATGCCAGGAGAGAAGAGGGTGAGCATGGCAGAGAGGGGAGGGGAGGTGGGCGCTGGAGTTAAGGGGCTTGGAGGGGGCCACACAACAGGCCTGTGAACTCACCTTGGCTCCGGGGATCCCAGGTGGGCCTGGGGGCCCCTGTGGCCCGGGAGGACCCTGTATGTGAAAGTCAAGCTGGTCAGTGTTTACGCAGGTCCTCCCCCGCATTGCTGGCTCACCCCTTCCCCCCAGGGGCCAGGGCTCTGTCGGGCTGGCCTGCAACAGGTTGAGGGTCCTCATAGCCTGCTTCCCACCCAGTCCCCCGACTCTTGTCTTGCAGCGGGGGGGGGGGGGGGCAGGGAGGTGGCACCAGGGACCGGGTGGGATACCACGGTGTCCACTGCCACAGTGGGTCCAGGTTCCCCCTACCTTCAGAGCTAGTATCCCCCAAATATAGATTTCTTCACAATACTCCCCTGCTCAAGATCCTGCGATGGCTCCCTATGGCCTCTTGCAGCAAGCATAAATCCCCCGTTGGCATTCAAGGCCAGCTAACAATGTTATCCCTGACGGTGGCCCAGCACTGCCCTCTCTGTCCCTCCCGTGAGCTCTCTGCCCATCGGCTCTGCTGCCGGCTGTCTGCTAGTGCTGGAGAGTCCTGGGTAAGGGATGGCACCTGCAGCATCTCTAGGTCTGACCCCGCTCCCAAGCTCCCGCTCTGGCCCAGGCTTCCCACAAACCACCTGCCCACCGTGGCTCATCGTTGCCCTCCAGACTTGTGCCCCTCCTCAAGGCTGCACCCCGCCCAGCCCCTCCTCCCAGCGACCTGTGCCCTCCTTGCTGGCACCTCCATGGAGACATCTCTGGTCTTCCTATCTTCCTCCATCCTCCCACCCAGGCCCAGAGCCCACCCCCACCCCGCCATGGCCTCCCTGCCTCCAGTTGCCCCCACACCCACTTTTATTCACCTTCCATGCCATTCCTCAGCTAACCTGCCCACAATATGTATGTGTATATATATATTTTAAAGATTTTATTTATTTATTTGACAGTGAGAGAGAGAGAGAGAGAGAGAGAGAGTGCACAAGCAGGGGGAGGGGCAGAGGGAAAGGGAGAAGCAGGGAGCCCAACTCGGGGATCAATCCCAGGACCCTGAGATCATGACCTGAGCCGAAGGCAGACGTTTAACCGATGGAGCCACCCAGACACCCCACAATATGTATTGTGAACCCCACTTCTTGGCTCAAGAACCAACTGTGGCAGCCCACTGCCCATCGGCTGGAGGCATCATTCCAATCTGGCATCCAGAATCTTCCTCCTGCCTCCCTGCACTCAGGCTGCTTCTCCAAGCAGGGCCTGGACACACCATGCCTGTGCATGCCCTTGAGCCACGCCACGCCACACCACACCACACCACACCACACCGTGCAGGCCTGGGGTGGGCCACAGTTACCATCAGCTTGTACTTCCCCGAGGCCTGTGGGAGAGAACTGGAATGGAGCCCAGGTGGGGTCAGGTGCCGAGGGCCCAGTCTGGTCTCTGATGCCTGCCCCTCGCCCTCCCGAGCTCCCTTCCTCGGGAGTCGTGAGTGGCTTGCACCCAACCCCTCTCCCTACGGGGGATGGGTCCCAAGTCTGTCGGCCACCGGGCAGGGCTCAGTGGCGGCGCATCTCCTGAGGTTCCTTGGGGGCAGGCCGGGCCGCTGTCATCCCCCCACCCCAACAGCTACTAGAAGACCTAGCCCTCCAGTCTGTGTTCCCCAGGAAGGTGCCAGGAGGTCCTGCGGAGACCGGACATCAGGAAAGGCTCTGCCTCTTGCCCGTGAGCAGGGAGCTTCCCTTTTTGCTTTGGCCTCAGGGGAGCTCGGGGCCACATAAGCCATATTCACGGCAGCTCTTAGCATCCATGGGGGGGCTCAGCATAGCCCTGATTTCCTTATTGGGGCGCACCTGGTGAAGCTGGGGTCTTTGTGCTAAAATCCGCCCCCCCCCAAAGAAATGCAGGATTGATATGCAAAGTATGTGGTTGTCTTCGGAAAAGAACCAGGATGTATCCTGCTCCTGCCAGGAAACTACCTTAAGGGCATCCAGGATCCTGCCATCGTAGTCAATCACCACTGTGTCTCCTTGCTCGCCCTTGAGGCCCTGGGGACCCTGAGGCAGAGGAAAAGAGAAAGTAAGAATTTCAGGGCAGAGCCTTGGCAGCCGCGTCTGTATCTCAACCAGGGACCCTAGGAACCTGACCCCCACGAGGGAAGGTCCGTGTGCCGTGTGCTGGCTCAGCTCTAACCCGATGGGACCCCCGCGAGTTCATCCTCTGGAATCTACATGGCCACCGGCACCCCAGTCCCTGAGAGAGCGTTCCAGGGCCCAGGCAGCAGGCATCCCGGAGGAAAGCGGGGAGGGAGGCCTAGAGCCAACGGAGGAACCTGCCCACAACGGGTCTGGCTGCCTTTTGCGTGGGACTTGAAGTCCCCTGAGGTCTTATCCCGGAGTTCTCCGATTTTTAATCTCTTTTGATTTTTAAATGTCGGCCAACAAAGGCGCAAAAATCAACACACTCCCCCAAACGCCCAGACACTGTGTAGACCAAGTGCAACTGTCCCAGCTGGATCTTGGCCTTGTGCCCCTGACTCCTAGGCTCTGGTCGAGGCTGTGCACGCCACGCACTCGCAACGAGCACACGTCCACCCGGGCCTGCATGCTCTGTCTGAGAACGCACGTGTCCCCACCCACCTGTCCCCGGCCACACGTGCTCGGCTGCCGGCCCCGCCCTTCCTTTCCGAGCCCCAGGCTGCTCTCTGCGGGGGCCCACTGTGAGGGGAGGGCAGCGCTCTGGTCAGGGGCCAGGGCCTCCGCTGCCAGCAGCCTCCTCGGTCATGATCACACAGAATCCCACAGCCAGTGCCTCATCCAGCCCCGGCCACCTGCGTGACCTTGTTTTTTCCGAGGAGAAAAGCAGCCTCCGGGAGCATGAGGGCACCGAGCAGAGAGAACAGGATCCCGGATGTTGACTTAAAAAGGTGGGTTGATAGCGGCTGGTCACAAAAGGTCACAAAAGATCAGAGACCAGCTGGGGAGGCTGTGGGTCTGGAGAGAGGAGCGAACCTCAAGGTGGGGCAAGGCCCCCCACAGGGGGAAGGTTCCCCCCTCCCCAGGTGGCGCATTGGAGGTCTGTGCTTGAATATGAGAAGACAAGACTCTGGGAGGGCTAACACTCACCTGGGGAGGCCTTGCTTTCGCACATGTGTATTTGAACGTTTTACCAAAAGCAGGTATTGTGAGATTAAAAAAAAAATTTTTTTTAAATTGCTAATGAATGATTATTAAAAAAAGACTCCCATTTCCTGGGACTCTACTGCTCCCCTGGGGCCTCCCCGGGGGACAGGGCCTTCTGAAGAACCCGGCCCGTGGGTCCCCTCGGTGTGCCCAGAGGGGAGACTTGCTTACCCGCAGTCCTGACACTCCATCGGCGCCTCGCGGGCCAGGCTCTCCCTGTGGAGACGTGAGGTTGCAGCCATGTGCGCACGGCCGCCCCATGCCCCTCCAGTCTCCAAGTCACCAAAAAGCGCAGGGCCCACGTGCTGGAGCCCCAAGGGACCAATGTACATGGCCGGCACCCCAGGAACAGGGATCCTGGAAGGAGGGCCTGTGGGAGCCTCCTTGGCCCCACGGTGTGTAGAGATGGGCCACTGAGGGAGACCCTGGCGCCCCTGGCTACAAGGTGATTTAGCCACATGGCTGAGCTTGGTGGAGGCTTGTCACTCACCCAAACCTGTGGCCACCCCCCCTGGCCAGCCTCTGACTGCCTGTGGAACGAGGCCCCTAGGCCCATGCCCTCCCAGGACTCCCCAGTTTCACCCCAGGATGGGGGCACTGGTCTGAGCCGCGCACTGTAAGGCACCTTTGGCCCTGGGGCGCCGTCCACACCATTTTCTCCTCGAGGCCCCACGTTCCCTGGCTCGCCCTGTAACAGAGACATTCACAGCTGAGTGAGGGCCAGGTGCAGGCTGGGGGCTGCCTGGGCCTCGTGGCTTTGAGAGCTTCTTGGGGAACACGCCTGAGCCCCCCTGGGGTTGAGAGGAGATGGGACTCTGGACCACACCACCTTCTCTGGTCTGGGTCTTGGCGTATAGTTAGGGCCCCTCAGGGGCTCTGGAGATATTTTGGAGGCAGGCTGGCAGTCTCCATGGTCTGGGGAAGCAAGGATGATATCCTGGTCCTAGTTGGGGGACAGGATAGAGTGGGGGCCACCTGAGATGGGAACTAGGAGGGCCTGAGGATGTGCGGGGAGGCAAATGGCTGGATGGGATGCCCCACCTGGTGTCAAGTGGGGTCCGGGGCCTCCCCTGGTCTCTCTCTGGCCTGCCCTGGGCATCAGCAGGTGCCCCCCCCACTGTGAAAGGGTCAGCCGGGGGCCTCACCAGACCGATGGGAACTGAGGGAGGTGTGAGGCAGGGGGCCCTGTGGGGGAGGCACAGGTACCTACCTTGGGGCCTGGGGGTCCAGGGAGCCCTGGCTGGCTTGGCGTCCCGTCATCCCCCTGAGGAGAGAGCAGCTGAGGTGCAGCCCTCAGGCCTGGGCAGACCTGCTTTGGCTGTCTCCGCCCCTGTTCCCCCCCCCCCCCCAGCCCTCTGCTGGCACCAGCCCTGGTCACACTGGGTGGGGACAGGGGTGGGGCAGGTTCCCTGGGGCCAGCCCAGAGCACGCGTCAGCAGGGGTGCACCGAAGGAAGGGGTGGGTAGGTGGAGGGGAGGGGATTCGTTCCTTCAGTCAACACATAGCTTGTGAGCACCGTGAGCACCGTCTGTGGGCCAGGCAGGCAGGGTCCCTGCTCAGTGGGGGAGAGAGAGGCCTGAGGGCAAAGAAATGTCCAGATAAACACCTAGGGCCAGGCCAGGAGGTAGAAGCAGTGCTGGGAAGAGAGTGTAAGAGGGTGGCAGGATGGAGGGACTGAGAGGGATGGTCACCTGGGAGAGGGGACAGCTTTTTGGAGACCTGGCAAGGGATGGGGTGGGGGGAGATCACCCCAGGCCAGTGTTTCCCAAATTTGAGTGCGTGCCACCATTCTGATACTTGTCTACCTGGAGAGAACGTCGGATCCCACCGGTTAAGGGCCCAGTCCTACAAGACTGCCCTGGCCCCCCAGCCCACTCCGGGGAACCAGGAGTAAGCCGGCTCTCACTTGTGTTACAGATCAACCCGCCATAGACTGAAGATTCCTCGTCCTTGGGTTCCATTAACTTGCTAGAGCGGCTCACAGAATTCAGGGAAACACTCTGCTTACTAGATTCCCAATTTATTATAAAGGACAGAACTCAGGAACAGCCAGATGGAAGAGATGCAGCGGGCAAGGTATGGGGAAGGGGCGTGGAGCATCTGTGACCTCTCTAGGCATGCTGCTCTCCCCAAATCCTCTGTGTTCACCCACCCGGACTCTCTCAGAACCCCATCCTTTTGGGTTTTTATGGAGGCTTAATTCCATAGGTGTGAGTGATGAAATCACTGGCCACTGGTGAAATTGGTTCAACCTCCAGCCCCTCCCTGGAGGGCTGGTGACCAGGACTGAAAGTTCCAACCCTCCAATCATGTGGTTGTTTCTCTAGGCAACGAGCCCCCATCCTGGGGGGTGGGTGTGTGTCCTCAAAGTCGCCTCATTAACATAACAATAGACCCCTTAAAATCAGGTTCATCACCCAGGACATTCCAAGGGTTTTAGGAGCTCTGCTCCAGAAACCAGAGGACTGAGACCAAATATGGATTTATTATAAATCACAACATCCCAGTGGCCCACCCCTAGTGTCTCTGACTAGGTGGCTCTGAGGTCGGCCCCGAAATGTGCCCGTCTAACAAGCCCCCAGTGATGCTGATACTAGCTGGTCCCAGGAACACACTCTGAGAACCACTGTCCAGACCCCTGAAGTGGGAATAAATTTGCTGTGTTTGCGGAAAGGAAAGAATGCGCGAATAAGTAGTGAATAAACGAAATCGGACTTCAGACACAGAGGACGGAGCAGTCATCCACAGTGAGGGCTTGGGTCTGGTGAGGACTTCCCTGTGGCCAGCCCCTGGCCCTGCCCCATGGGGAGCCCCTGCCCGTCTCCCCAGCCACTTCCCACACACCCACCAAAAAGCCCCTCCTGGGGGCCCCCCTCACCTTCTTTCCAGGAATGCCGGGCTCACCCTGAGGGGGGAAGCAGGGGGATGCAAGAGAGAGATCAGAGCATGGCCCAGACACCAGACCACTTGCTCTGGTAGAAGTGGCCTTGATGACCGGGTACAGCCAAGAGATCCCGGCCCCCCAGAGAGGTGCACATGGATGGTGGGTGGGGCTGACAGTCCTGGACTCCACTCCTGACCAGGTTCCCCCCACGCTGAATGACCCTGGGCAAGTCACTGCTCTTGCAAGTGGGGATGTGACGTCCCAGCCTCCAGGGGGTGTTTCTGAGATGAGGAAGAAAGCAAGGAAAGCCCTTCTCCTTCGGGGCAGAGCCCAGCTCCACCCCCCACCCCAGCAGGCAGAGAAGAAAAGGAAGAGCTGACCTGTGGGGTAGGGGAGGTGAGGTGAGCCCATCCCTCCCAGGCCTGGGGCAGCGGACAGGGAGGGGACAGGGAGTGAGGAGTACTCACCTTGGGCCCTGGGGGTCCCTTCAGGCCCTGGAACAAGAGAAGAAAAAGTATTAAATGGGGTCCTGAAGGCTGCTTCTGGGCCTCCTCCTCTTCTTCATTGTACAGAGGGTGATACCAAGTGCCAGAGGCCAGGCCTGATGCCCTGTGTCGAGGGCCGGCCTCCCCAAATGCCCTGGATACTGACCATCTCGCCGTCCCGTCCAGTCTCTCCTTTGGGACCCTGAGGAGGCAGAAGAGAACCTCTTGAGGGGACGCAGGGGATGAGGGGACGCAGGGGATGAGGGGACGCAGGGAATCCCCGGTTAACAGAGCCCACTCCCCGTGCCAGGCCCTGGGCTGGGGCTGCAAGCAGTCTCTCGTTTCATGAGTTCTTGTTCCCACTTTGCAGATGAGAATGTTGAGGCTCGGGGAGTTAGGTGCCCAACGTGAATAGGAATGGATGAGCCATCTGAGTAGCTGGCTGCCCTGAGAGCGGACCCTGGTGGCAGTCTGGTGGCAGAGCTGGCTCTGCGTGGGATGGGAAGGACAGGCCTGAGTCCCTGCAGTAGGGGAAGGGGTAGTACCACGGAGTCTGGCCTCCAGGCTCTGAGTAGAACTATAGGAGGACAACTGAGCCTAACTAGTTAGTACTGGAGGGAGGGAGGGAAAGAGAAGGAGAGAGAGCCAGAGCTGGCGGAGGGGGTGGGGCGTAAAATCTGGGGAGGAAGCGCCCCCATATGGGTCTCAGGGTTAGGGTTAGGAATGCGACTAAAATTGCAACCAAGGTCAGGTTTAGGGTCTCTGGTTGTATTTGGGGTTAGGGTGGAGGGTAAGAGTTGGGTTTGGAGTCAGGTCAGAGTGCAGGGGTCAGAGGTAGAGTCTGGATACTAGCCAGAAATGAGGGTACGGACCAGGATTTGGGAATGAGTTTGGGGTCAAGGTCTTAAACGGCATGAGGTATAAGGCTGGAGTGTGGCAGGTGTCTGGGTTGGCTGGGGTTGGGGTGCGGCATGGGTCTGGGTCTGGACTGGGGACAGGGGTATTCCACCTCTGTGCCCTCTCTTACCGCAGGGCCTTGTGCTCCCCTGGGGCCATCTTTTCCTGTGTCTCCAGGAGGGCCCCGGGCCCCAGGAGGTCCAGGGGGCCCCGGAGGCCCAGCAGCTCCATCTCGCCCTTGGTCTCCCTGGAAGAGATGGGTCCTGGCTTACTGTGAGGGGGAGGGAAGGGGCTCTGGTCTCCGGAGAGGAGCCTCTGCAGACGGACGGCCCGATGCCTTCTCTTCCCCAGCCCTTGGTGGGCTCAGAGCAAAGTGTTGGGCTTCTCCCTGCTTCTTGGCGGCCGCAGGAAGGGACAGGTCCCTGTACTTTGGCGTAAAAGGCTAACAGGACCTTCTACACTCCAAGGGATGTGCCATCTTCCCAGCCCTTAGTGCCCGGAGCCCAGCTCTGGTGTTTCGTTGAGAGATGAGACACGCTGGGTGCGGGAGTGAAGCATGTGGGCCCCACCAGCCCCCTTCTTCCTGGAAAGGGGGCGGCACACGTCCTGAAGGACCCTCCTCGTTGGTCAGCTCCTACTTTATTCAGTGCTGGAGGTGCGCTTCTGGGCACTTACCCAGAGAGATGAAAACTCATGCAAATCCTCACAGCAGCTCTTAGGTGTAACGGCCCCAAACTAGAAGCAACCCAAATTGTCCTTCCGTGGGTGGATGGTTAAGGGACGGGGCTACAGCCCTGTCACGGAGCCCTGCTCGGCAATAAATGGAAAGGAACGAGGAGGCACAGCCATGTTACAACGACTCGGATGCATCTTGAGGGAATGTTGCTGAGTGAGAAAAGCCGATCTTACAAGGTGACCATACTCTATGGCTGCAAATACACCACACGGCTGACACGGAAAGATCACAGAGATGGAGCGTGGGTCAGTGGCTGCCCGGGGCGGGGGTAGGGATGGGCGACTGTAGCAGCACAAGGGATCTTCGTGCGGTGGTCACTGGAATCTCCTGAGCGTGATGACGTCGCCCAGACTTAAGCACACCCAGATGGGCAAAATGGCTGAGCTCCGAATGGGGCAGGTGGATTGTGCCAATTTCCTGGTGGTGAGACTGTACTCCGGGGGAGGCCGGATGTCACCATCGGGGGAACGTGGAGGACAGGTGCATGGGGGATCATTTCGTACAACTAATTGTGAACCTACAGTTATCTCAAGATAAAAAGTTGAAAAAAAAAGAGCAACGAAAGGCCACAAAGTCTCAGTCATGCAGCAGCCTGTCCCCGACTCGAGGACCCGGTGTTAGTATGGGGTCAGACCTCAGGCAGCCGGAGCCCTCACCTCGTGGTCCCAGCTGCAAGGATGGGGGAACCACAGCGCCACTGGTGCTTTCTGTGGCCTCCGTGGTTCCCGCCCAGCACTGGCACCAAGCATAGTCATGGGGCTCGGCTGGCTCACCACGACAGCAGCCCCCAAACTTCCCGTGGACAGGAAAGGAGGAAGCCTCTTGTGGAGGTAGCCCCCGCTGCGTGCCCAGCACTGACCTCTCCGGAAGCTGGCTCGCCCAACCCTTGCGACCACCTGGCCAAGGCCCTGCTATGGACCCATTTTACAGATGGAGCAGTCAGGAACAGAGAGGGTAACTGTCTCCCCAGGGTTACAGAGCTAAGAAAGGCAGCACCTCTTCTGGCCACTGAGGCAAGCGATGCCTTTTGGATGCATTTTTAATCCCTGGATCCCATGATGTGAAGGTTCACCTTTCTGGCCAACTGGACTTTCAGACACAGTTCATTTGTTTCCCCCAATTAAAGAATTAACTGAGGCTCTCAGTGTCCACCACTCAGGGTCCCGACGCAGAGGCCATGACTCCAGTCCAAAGTAAAGAAAACCGACAGTTTGGTTAGCTAGCCCAGGCGCGGGTGGGGATGGTGGTGGGTAATTCCTCTTCCATTTGATGCTGTGTCAGGAAGACTTGGAAGATACCCCATTCCCCGCTGTTCCCTCCACAGCCCAGGGCCCCACGATGGGCACCACTGGCCGGACTCTACTTAATGAGGAGGAAAATGGGTTTCGACACTTGAGCAGGCCCCAGCAGAGGTTTGTAGGCTTGGCCTTGAATGACTTGGGACACGAGGCTGGCCTTGTATGTGCACTGGGATCGGCTGGCTGAGGTCTAACCCTGGAAATGCAGGGGTGAGTCAAGGGAGCACGCAAACCAGCAGGCCCGGACACGCCTTGAAGATGCGGCGACTGTACCCATGATGGTCTCTACTTATAAAGCCTGGATTGAGCTGTGGGAAAACCATCTGGCCAGCAAACAGGTTGTGTGGTCAGGAAGGCAGAAAGGGTGACTTAGGAAAGGACAAGGCTGTTTCTGAGGGCAAAGCCACTTCACCCAGACCAGCGACCGGGAGAGGCAGACTCTCCAAAGGTGGCCACCATGCTCGTTCCCATCCCACAGGCCCCTTGCAATGGGGTCCCACCCACCACACCCCATCAAGAGCTGGGGGCCTGTTCCTCTCTCTCCACCTTGACTTTGGATGGGCCCCGTGACTGATGGGACGGACAGGATGCTGAAGAAGTAAGGCCTGCCAGGCTCTTAACTGGCCTGGCAGGTACGCTTCCAGCCTCCTGGAATGCTAGTCTTGGGATGCCCCTCTGGGAGGCCCACTGCCACACTGGGAGAAGCCCTGAAGCACAGAGATTCCCCCAGCTGAGCTCCCAGCCAACAGCCGCACCGACCGAGGCCAAGGGAGGGTGCCATTGTCTTGGGCTGCAGGCCCAGCAGCCTCTGCCTTCGATGAGCGAGATCCCCCCACCAGCCCACAGGGTCGTGTGGGACAGTGACACGTTGCTGTTTTAAGCCCCGGAACTCTCAAGGGCGGAGGTTGTTTTGGAGGTGGCTTGAACCTTGGGACAACGAGGGGACACCCATGAAGGGCGGAGGAAGGGCTTTGGAAAGGATGTCTCGTGACTCCCGGGCTGGGGGAGTTCTAGTCTTTTGAGACGTGGGCACCCCCTTTTCAGAAGATCAGCGTGGCCAGCCGGGGCTCTCAGCTCCTGCTTGTGACCATCTGTGATGTGGGCCCTCCTGGCCTGGTGCACAAAGCAGGCTCGGAGCTGTGAGGCTGCAGAGCTGGGACTGGGACCCTGCCCACACCTGGTCCTGCAGCTGCTTTCCCTTCCCATCCCCCATCCACAGTGCCCACCTCTCAGCCCTGCTCCATCCCTGCCTCTAGGGCTTACAGAGGCAGGCTGGGGGGACTCGCTCACCCACTACAATTTCCACCCATAACCTTGAAAACCCCTGGGAGCACACCCCTCTAGTGCAGTCAGGCCTCCACCCCGGTGGTGGTAGGAATGGTGGCGGCATGCCTTTGGGGCCCCTTACATGACCCTCTCTCTGCCCAGATCTGCTTTGTGGGGCCCACCCCACCCGGGCTCTGTACTCTGCTTCGTTGAAGAGACCCCAGGCTTGGCATGAGGCCCTTCTGGGTCCCTTGGGCCTTGGGGACACTGAGGGCCAGGGGATCTACTGTCCCCATGCTGGGTGCTGGATGCCCATGTTTATGACTGCAATGAACCTTCGCCACAGCAGCTTGGGTCAGGGGCTGTCAATCCCACCCACCACAGTTGGAGAAACTGAGTCACAGAGGGGAAAGTGAGTCGCTCAAGGTTACTTGGCTGGTAAGTGGCTGAGCTCAGCTGCTGACCCATAACCTTCCCTCTTCCTGGGGTGCCAGCCATCCTCAGGAAGGTTAGTCTCGGGTCTGGGGCCAGTGCTAGCCCTGCTGTCTCCCCTGCCCCCCATCCATGGTGACAAGTAGGACTGGGAGGAAGCCCTGGGACTTCCATCTTGTGGCCACTTAAGTGAAACCACACAGAAGGACGGACGGTGGGTGGTGGGCAGAGACCGTGGGCCCGTGCGGTAAGGTGTAGGGAGCCAGAAGAAATGCTAGATACGCCTTATTATACGATAACACAAACTGTGTGGGGCGGGTGAGGGGGTCTTGCGTCAGCTCTTACCCGAGGGCCAAGGTCTCCGGGTGCACCCTAAAGACAAGAAGCAGGAAGACAGATCACTGCTACTATTATTACTTTATCATATGTATTGAGCATTTACTCTGTGCTCTGTGCTTTACATGCGTAGTCTCACCCAAGTCTAACAAACATAACATGTGGGCTCTATTTTTAATCTCCATTTCCAGTGAGGAAACTGAGGCACAGAGAGGCTAAGTAACCAGCCCAAGGTCACACAGCCAGCACACGCAGGGCTTGGAACCAGGCGCTGTGTTGTCTGGGGCCGGTCCCTAGACTCAGCGGAGCAGAGACGAGCTGCTCCCACCGTGTCCTCTTGGAATCCTGGAACCTCGACACAGTGAGGGCTGGTTGATTGTTTGAAGTCACCAAGTTTTGGGGCAGGATGTTACGACGTGATGAATGCCAAGATGCCAATTTCTCTCTGAGTTCAAAGCCTCTGCTTTGTTCAGCCGGAGCCAACGAGAAGGGAATCTCTGTGAGATTGCTTTAACTGACAGATGGAGAAACTGAGGCCCACGGAGCCGGCCAACCCATCGAAAGCCATGCAGTTGGTGGTGGAGCCCTAACGCAAACCTGGATGCTCTGAGTCCTGGCTCCTGTACCCGGCACAGCTCTGAGGGTGGATGGGGACCCTGGCCGCCCTTACTTACCTCAGTGGGCACATCAGAGCAGGGGGCTGGGGTGGATGCGGCTGGGGTTCACCCAGCCCTTCCCTAGAAGCGTCCTGCCACACCTGCATCTGCTCTGGCCCCTCCCTAGCTCTGATCCCACAGTGGGACACACGGGTGGCCCCTCTCGCCCCCTCCCTTCCGTGGCACTTGGAGGTCCCAGCCCTCCAGGGGTCTGCCGTGACATTTCATGCCGAATGCCAGGGAGGCCTTTCTCACAAGGGGCTGTAAAGATCACAGGGGCAGCTCTTGGCCATCTGTTTGCCTGGGGGGGGCATGCACTCGTCACAAAGAATACCATCTATAATGACTGTTCAACTCTTCCCCCCACCAGGCTCTCCTGCCTCCCCCCCCCCGCCGCCTTCATGAATACTTGCTTTGGAAACTCCTTATTTTGGGAAGACTGTGCTTTGAGTTTTGTCTTTCTCCGGTGGAGGGTGGGACTCCAATGTCACCCCCCGGGCACTTGAAATTGTTAAACATAAGCCGTGTAATCATTAGGAGGGAGGAACTCTTAGCCCCACTTTCCAGATGGGGAAACTGAGGCTCCAGGAGGGGTGTGACGTGCCTGGGGCCACACTCCGGAGCTGGGGTTTGGGAGCAGGTTTCTGGCGTCCATCATATCCCCAACTAGACAGCTGCCAGCATCACTTACCTTTTCCCCTTTGGGGCCTGGAAGTCCCTGTAGAAAAAAGGTGCAGAAAGACAGGCATGAACGAGGAGGACTGGGCTGGCTCCCCTTCTGGCTTCCCTAAGGCTGTGGGGGCAGAAGGGCCTGTGAAGCTGAGCAGAGCTGTGGGTAGCTGGGTGGGGAAACACGTAAGTCTGTCTGCTTTTAATGAGGGCTGCCTTTGCTGGCCCCAAGGAAGCTCCACACCCCAGTCCTCTGCATGAGGGAGGCAGGGGACTTGAGGGTCGCCGGGACCTCTCAGTTGGGGTAGGGGCGCATGTGCTGTCACTCCCCCCAGAGAGCAGAGCCCTTCCAGCTCAGCCCCTGCTGTGCCCGGCAGCCGCTGCCCCCTAACTGTCCATTATCCCTTCAGTCCATAATGGTTTTGCTGGTTCATTCACTTAACAACTTGTCCATCTAGGAGGTCAGTTCATTCCTCCATCCTCTAATACGGTACACATCATCTGGCAACACCTCAATCACTTCTTTCATTCATTCCTCACTTCCTTGTCTGCTCAACCATCATGCATCTGACTGTTGGTACAATTATTGATTCATTACCTCATTTGACTATCTTTCCGTCCAAACATCCTTCCTTCCTTCCATCCACCCACCCATCCATCTGTTCATCAGCCCATTCATCTATCTATCCATCTGTCTATCCTTTCATCTAAACATTCATCAGTCCATTTGCCCATCCATCCATCCATCCATCCATCCATCCATCCATCCATCCATCCATCCATCCATCCATCCATCTACCGTACCTTCCTTCCTCCTATCCTTCCATCTATTCATGCATCCATGCATGCATCCATCCATACTTCCATCTATCCATTCCTACATCCTACCTTCCATCCACTCACATATCCATCTGTTTATCAAACCATTCATCTATCTGTCCATCTGTCTGTCCTTTCAACCAACCATTCACCAATCCGTTTGTTCATCCATCCATCCATCCTACCTTCCTTCATTCCACCCATCCATCCATCCATTGTTCCATCAATCCATCATACATCCTCCCTTCCATCCACTCACCCATCCATCTATTCATCAACCCATTCATCTATTTATCCATCTGTCTGTCCTTCCATCCAACCATTCGCCAATCCATTTGTCCATCCATCCATCCACCCATCCATCCATCCCTCCTTCCATCAATCCATCCATATATCCATCCTTCATCAATCCATTCATATATCCTTCCTTCCATCCACCCACTCATCCATCTGTTCATCAACCCATTCATCTATCCATCCATCCAACCATTCATTATCTAACTATTCATTATTCATCCATCCATCATCCATCCACCCACCCACCTACCTATACATCCAAATCCAACTATATATTTAATTATGCTGTCTCCCTGAGCAGCTTATTCATTGTGCTGAAGATGCCTGTGGACTGCAGGCTCCTGCCCCAGATGTTGAGAACTCATCAGCCCAATGCCTACCACTGAAGTCTTGAGACTGCATGGGAAGATGCTCTGTGCCTGGGGCTGGCTAGGAGGGGCTTGTTTGTTTTGAAGGCTGACTAGATGTCAGGGATGGTGCTATCCACACTTCTCCACATCCCCAGCATGTTGGGCTGGGTAATGTGGGGAGCGTTAACAGACCCATTTGACAGAGCCTCAGGCTTGGGACGTGAAGGGGCCTCCCCAAGGCTGAATAGTCAGCAGGTAGTGAAACTGGATTTGAACTTCAGTCTGATGCCTAAATGACTTCTCTCCATGCTGAGCCATGTATCCAGTGGCCCCTTCCCTCTGGCACCCCACCATCACTTCCAGCCCCACAAGTGGCCCAGTCCCAGGACCACTTAGAATTGCCCTGTCATCACTTACGGGCTTGCCATCCAGACCTAGTGGCCCCTGGAAATGAGAGAGACAGAGAGCACAGGTTACACACCAGAAAGGCATTTCCTGCGTGTTTTATGACCCAGAGGCACTACTGAGTATCAGAGACCAAGACCTGACATGAGCCCACGGTCTGAGTACATTTCACACGGACCTGGAGTGGAGGCATCTGGATCTTGCTGCCCAGAATCCCCTCCTCTGACAAGAGAGCCCCTCTTCTTCTCCAGGACCACCCCCATCTGCACATACGGGGCTTGGGCGTGTGGTCACATTCCCTCAACCAGAGTGAGTGGTTCAGGGATGAGCATTATGTCTGGGACTTTGAATGGCGGCCCCTTTAGGAGAAAGAGGGCTCTTTTCTCCTGATGGGGCTAAGGTGGAGCTCCTGGGGGTACCAGGTGGCTTGAGGAAGAGCCAACAGAGAGGAAGTCAGAGTTGAAAGACAGAGAGAAAAACGGGGCAAGGGGTCTGAAGCTGAAATCACCCACCCCTGCACACTTCCATTTGTCCACGGTTTTTCTTTAAGCCAGTTCGAATTGAGTTCTGTCACATGTAAGTTGACAGGGACTGAATGTGTCCCCACCCCCCAGATGCATGTGTTGAAACCCAGTGTGATGGCGCTAGGAGGGGGGTCTTTTGGGAAGCGATTAGGTCATGAGGGTGGAGCTTCATGAAGGGATGGCAGCCTATTTAGAAGAGAGGCTCCAGAGAGCTGCCTGCCTTTGTGTCCACCACAGGACACAGGGAGGAGACGGGCACCTGCAGCCTGGAAGAGGGCCTCCACCAGAACCCGACCAAGCCGGCACCCTGACCTCAGACCTCCAGCTTCTAGGACTGCAAGAAGTCGATTTCTGTTGTTTCTAAGCCACCCAGTCTGTGGTGCTTTGTTGGGGCAGCCAAAACAGGCTAAGACAGGACTGGAAGAGTCCTGAAGGCTCTTTGAGTTCCCTGCACTGCTGTGGCCTTTGCAGGCCAAAGTCAAAGTCAAGAGAAGCCAAATCGCTCAAGGCTGGGTCCCAAGGGCTGGGACATCTCAGAGGCTCTGGGGGCTCCGTGGTGTTAGGGACCGCTGCCAAGCAGCCCCCACAGCCACTGCCCACTTAGAAAGCTCCGCTGAGCTCCACCACCCGGTGGGAGTATACAAGAATCCAAGGGCAGTGCCGCAAACCGGGTCCATCCGTTCTCTGTCAACCCCTGTCCTCCTCCCTGCCACGGCCTCCTCATCCCCACAGACACCGCAAATGTTCTAGGCAGCTCCACTCTCCTGAGCCTTCGCGCACACCGCCTGCCTGCCTGGCACACCCTTCGCCCCCTTGTGCGCCATCTTCAGCTCAGTCACCTCCTCCTCCACGAAGCCCTCCAGGCTCCTCCACTCCCCAGAGTCAGGCCATCTGCTCCTGCACCCAGCACTTTTTCTAGGTGTCGCACATGACACCATGCATTGTTACTGTGTGGTCTACACAAGTCTTCCAGTGGATCCAGGAAAAGGGTCTGATCCCTGTGTCGCCAGTGCTCGGATGAAGCCTGGCGCAGAGCGTGCACCTCTCAATGTGTGTTGAGTCAAAGCAAGGAAAGGTAGCGAGAAAGAAGCGTGTGCAGATACATAGGGGATAAGACGGAAAGTTCAGGGCAGGACAGACAAAGGGTTCTGCCAATTCTGAGCAGGATGACAGCCTGCCAGGCTCTGGGGGGTATTGGGAAAGATTAGGGAGTGCTAGCCTGAGAAAATAGCATTTGGGCATTTAGGGACGGCACCATGGGCAGAAAGCACAGCCCTGAGGCAGAGGGCCTGTGGGCAGAGGGACAGCTCTGCCTCGCATCAACCTCCCTCCCATCCTGGTCTCTCTCACATGGGTCTGTCCCTGTCACTGTGGAGGTTGTGCTCCCCGGCCCAGCTCTGGAGTCCTCTTGGCCAGGGCCAGCCTCTGCCTTGCGGTTGTCCTGTGTCCCTGGTCTTCCTAAGCTCTCTGCTTCTTTCCCATCTTCATGCCTTCGCATGGGCTGTTCCCTCTGCTCGCTGGGCCCTTCCCTGGCTCCTCCATCTGGGAGACACTCTCTGGCTCCGGGAAGCCAGTCTCTCCTCCCTCGGGTCTGCACACGGCCTGGGAGCCAGCAGCCCTGGCCGCCGGGCCCAGCAGGGAATAGCCAGTTTCCCTGGCTCAGCCACCAGACCTCCCTGAACCATACAAGTCCTCTGATGCCCTAAGAGGGGCTACTCCTTGAGGCGTTCACACCAGGGCCTCGCTCCAGGCAGGAAACCAGGGCAATTCTGAAAATTTGTCCCTTAAGTGCCTCTGGCCACCAGCCTCAAGGTCGGCTGAGGGTCTGGACTTCGGGGCAATGCCCTGGGGGCAGATGGAATCCCAGGAGATGGGTAGTGCAGCCATTCCAAAGTCTTGGGGGTCTCGGCTCTGGGGCTCCTGGTCAGGTCCTCAGCCCCAGCCCCAGGCCCAGGCCTCGTTGCTGAGGCTCACCAGGAGCTGCCTCGCTGGCCCATCTGCTGGCTCCTGGCTGTTCTGACCCCTGGATCCACATGCCTGAGGCCTCCTCCCCTTAGTCTGCTAACACTGGGCCCTGCACCTCCTCTACTCCCCACGCTCAGGCCCTGCTAGGCCTCATGGGGCTCAGTCCCACCCTGGGTCTCACCTGGGGGCTCTTCGTGGCCCCCATACTCAGTCTGAATCACCACAGCAAGCGTGTAAGGCAGGTCTTATCATCCCTCTCTTACAGAGGAGTAGACTGAGGCCCAGGGAGGGAAGGCCTTGCCCCAGGCCAGGCAGCCAGTAACGAGGCAGGGCTGGAGCCCAGAAAGGCACTTCAGGTCTCTGTCCTCTGGGCGCCGACATTCCTGGCCACGCTCCCCCATCTGCCCAAATCCACCCTGCAGATGAAAAAGACTGAGATGAAGAAGAGACGAAGGTGCAGCTTAGAGCTAAGTTAATGTCCTTCCTCTTCACGCACTGGGAGGGAGGACACAGTGGGCCTCACGGCCAAGTCACTGGCAGCTGGGGGCCCCTGACAGGGCCTGGGACCCCGTGCAGGGCTGGTCTGAGGGAAGCGGGCACCCCTCCCCTTGGGGCCACAGAGGCAGAGACTCTCTGGGGCAAGTCTACGAATGCTCCAATGCTCATCCACATGGACCCCACTGAACCCTGCCATACCCTGCACGGCTTCTGCTCTCACTGCCGCCCTGGGAGGCGGGCCCCGGGGCCCCATCCTGCAGATGAAGAAGCTGAGCCGGTGGGACCGCCCAAGGGCTGAAACAGGCTCTCCTCTCTACGCAGTGCTCCCTCCCCTGCAGCATAGGGCAGCACGGTTGACAAGTGGCTGTCCCGGAGGACCTAGGATGGAGCCTCGCAAGCCTTGCCTTCCTCTGGGATTCCTGGGATGTCTGCCTCCCCAGCTGAACAGACCCTCTCTGGGCAGGGCTCTCTGGGCCCTCTATCACCCTAGCCCTCTAGCAGAGGGAGTGCTATGTGGACCTGGGAGAGCCAGTCAACCTCTCTGAGCCTCAGCATCTTCCTTACCTGTTCTCCCCAGCAGGGCTGTTCCTGCCCTGGGTTCGCCCCAGTTTTCCCCTAAACTCTGCCACACCACAGCCTCCTGGTGGCCCCTGGGATTTGGAGAGAGCTGCTCCAGAGGTCTCAGGGCTACATCGGGTGCCTCTGGAGGCCCACGGACATTCACCCATCATGCTGTTTCCTGGCCCCAAGCTCTGCTTTCCCAGTTCTCTCCACTGCACACAGTCCTGCCTCCACCTGGAGAACTCGTACTTATTCCCCAAGGCCCAGCTCAGATGGCCCTTCTGGGAGCCTCCCCAAGGAGAAGAAGCATCCCCTGAGTCTGTCTGCCCCAGAGCTGGGTCCCCATCCTTCTGGAAGAGAGCCCCGTGGCCGAGCTCCAGGAGACACGCCAGGCGGTCAGAGGAAGCCGGCTCTGGATTCAGACACACCTGGGACCAAATTCAGCCTTTCCCACATGCCAGCTGGTGACCTGGGCCTCATCATCTGTGACAGGGAGATGCAGGCCTCCCTGTGTTGCTGGCCTGTGTGTGTGTGTGCGTGTGTGTGCTGCTGAGAAGGGGCTATGTGTGCTGAGTGAAACATAGGAACTGTGCAGACAGAGACAGGACAAAGCAAGCCTCCTTCTCTTCTCCCCAGCTACTCTCTTGGGGGGCAGCACAGGCACCGGTGTCAGCATGACCCCCCCCAGGAAGCAGTCCGTGCCCTGGAGAAGCACATACGTGGACCCCCGCCTTTTTTATTTTGAAAGTCCTCTATGGGCTGAGCAGCATACGTCTGTGGGTCCATCTGCCTTAATGGTGCTGGGGAATCTGGTCCCTGGCCCTGCAAGGCACATCATAGCCCTCCTCACTGCATTCCAGGAAAGGCCTATGACATATACTGAGACCCGAGCATCATCCCCACGGCCCTTCCCTAACACCTGTGGTCTCTCCCATGCAATGCCCTGGAGAACTTTCTAGAATGCAAATCTGCTCTCCTGCTTGAGCCCCTCTGGGGTGGCCTTACTCCTGAAGGATAATGTCCAGACCTCCCGGTCTGGTGCCCAAAGCCCACCTGCCCCAGCCTGGCACGGGGAGCATGTGTCCTAGTTTGGCCTTTCCTGGGGCTGGGGCTCCCTCTGGTCCATCGCTGGGTCCCCAGGCCCTGTTCCAGGATGTCCGCTGGGTGGACAGAAAACACACAGAGCTGTAGGTGCCCTGCTTTTCTAGAAGTGTCTGCTGCAGAAGGGAGCCTGGGGTATTCCCTCAGCTTGGACCCCACAGGAAGAATCTCTTGTTGCCAACTGTCTCTGAAAGTATTCCAACGGCAAGATCTTGCTGTCTCTTCTTGAGAGTGACCTTGGGCCTCCTGTCTCCTGGGAGGGATTCTGCCCTCTTTCAACTCCCAGATTATTCCCCGGGGGGTCCCCAAGGCCTCTTTCTGGTGTGTGACAAAGCCTACAAGTGGCAAAAACCCAATTTTCCTCCCTAGGGCCCTGACTCTATCTGGCAT